ATGAAAAATACAACTCCAATCATACTCCCTAAGAGCACTTCCATCGATTTGCCATGGCAAAGGGCAAGGGCAAGACAAGGGCTGTTACTATTCAAGTGAATAGTAACAACCCTTTCCAAAGGTTGTGGTGTTTCCACCTATTGCCATGGCAACAACTATTTACATGAGATATGAGGAGAGAAATTTGTATAGAGTTTTGGTGTGAAAGTGAAAAATACGACTAAGTATTTATTTTTTAAAAATTCTGAAATTTTTTGTAAATTTTTTTTGTTGCTGACATCAGCGAACCCGGGCTTGAGCTCGGCGTCATTTTGCCTGAGGGCTGGCCTGGTTTCGTTCGCCCCAGCAGCTGCCTTGGCAGCTTAAGACCACTGGAATCATGAAACGAGGCTTGGGCCCCCTATGCCCTGGCAAGGGCTGTCCAATAGAAAGGCTCTAATCACCTCCTAAAATAAGGAGACATCTAAGAGCTCCTCAGGAGAGAGAAAAGACTCCTCGTGGCTTCTATATATATCAATCCCCTTCTATTGATAGATTCCTCAAATAATTTTATTCGAGGGACACCATTTAGGGTCCCCTACTAATTTTTTGCAAGGATAATCTATTAATGTAAACTTAAAAAAATACATGGTTTGGATCTTTGAAAAAAATTTAGTAGGGGACCCTAAATGGTGTCCCTACTAATTTTTTTTCAAAGATCCAAACCATGTATTTTTTTAAGTTTACATTAATAGATTATCCTTGCAAAAAATTAGACAAATCAGAAATCGTTTCGACCTCCAATTGTGTCCAGCAAAATCAATGAACACGATGCTTCAAGAAAGTACTAAAATTTTAATATTTCAATTGAGTGGTAAAATGATATCGAATTCATGATTTTTTGTAGAGATCATCTTTGAATGAATATCTACAAAATCGACGGTTTATATTAGTGAAATACAATAAAAAAAATGGGCCCTATAAGGGTGTCCCTCAAATAAGCTTATTTTAAGAATCCCTCAACTGAAGCTTATATATACACAGTCCCTTTCTAGTGAGAGATCCTTCAATTAATTTTATTTGAGGGACACCCTTTAAGGTCCCTTACGAATTTTTTTTTAACGATCCAAATCATCTATTTTTTAAGTCTACATTCATAAATCATCTTTGCAAAAAATTAGATAAATTGAAAACCATTTTGACATCTAATTGTATCCTACAAAATCAATGAATATGATGCTTCAAGAAAGTATTATAATTGGTCACAATCTCACCAACAAAACACTACTATTAGCAACCGCCCTGGGTCACCCACCATATTCGCTAATTGGTTAAAAGCTCACCAAGAAAGCCCATATATGTCTTTCTTGGGGTCCACTAGGAGCACGTCCCGCTAATTATCTAGTTACCACACCTTAATTAGTTTGAATTAGTCCTGGATTAGCCCGTATATTGAACCTCGCACATTTATAGGTAGATATTATATATATATATATTGTAGGTATATTGAACCTCGCACATTTTTCAAAGACAACAATCTCTCATACAAACAATAATAATTATGTTTTGGTTCTATTAGCATGGCACCTTATTTGTGAACAAGTTACGGGTTGATAACATAAGGAATATATATATAAGGGAAGGCTAGCAATTGCAATAAAAAAAAGTGGGTCCTTTTCAAAGGAAATTTTGATTTGAACATAAATAAGTTCTTGAATTCACTACACTTGGATAACTATGAAATTTATGTACCATGTGATGTTTTTTATTTTTTATTTTCATTGTATTGTAATGAAAAATAAGTAACTGTTTTATTTCACTAGTTCTTCTATTTTTATCACAAATGGTTCATGAGGTTCGCGAAATTATCATCTTGAGACATATATTATGGCGAAACCAGGATTTCATGTGTTTGGGGGCCTCTTACAAAATATAAATAATCAAAAATTCGAACTCATAATACATACAAAAAATAGTGTATATATATCACATATGTCAAGAATTATATCGCTTATTGGTTGCAATCATAATTGTTCTCGACAAAGAGATAGACAAATACATTCTAAGCAAGAAAATTGCAAGAGATAGACAAAGAGTAGTGATTTAGCAAATATCTTTAAAGCTTTTTCCCCATTAAATCCAATAGAAAGGAAAAAAAAATTCAAAATTTCCCAAATTAAAAACAACCTTAGGCCCCTTTATGCATTCATATCATACATGAAAAAATATTGACTAAGTATGAAAAATGGTTTTTCGGAATAATCATTTTCTCAAGATAATTTTTGGCGGCTTTTATTCCTTACACATGAAATAAGAAAACTTGATTTTATGGGATTTTAGTATGAAGTATATATTGACTTAATGAGCCATCATTTTTAGCCTAAATCGTATTTTACACTAAAACCGATTTTTCATATTTTGACTTGGTGAGAATTTGATTTTCTAGTATTTTTATTTGAATTCAAATAGGGGGTACTTCATTATTTACATTGTAAACTTAAGTAAATGGAGTAATATAAAAATAAATTAAAGTCAAAGGACAAAGACATTTACTTAAATGTTGAAAATGGAAATAATCTGTACACCTGAAGTGCATCTCCATTAGCTGAGCAAGGGTGCAATTTGAACTACCTCCTTGTGCCTTAATAAGTCCGCCACAATACATGTGGGTACATATCAAAACATAAAGTATTTGAAATAATATACATATACAAATACATAACAGTATATTACTATAATATATATATATATATATATATATATAATAGATGCTATGGAGACCCTCAAAGTCTCCACTGCATATGTATTAAAGACTTATATTTGGATATCCAAGATTTCTACATCTAAAAGAGTATATAACCCGGTGGATGTTAGTCATTGTCCAGGAAAAGGAGCCACTTGATGAGAGCATGCTTTGGCACCATACACAAAACCAAAAATTGTGAGACTCTTGATTGATATATGCTTTTTATGTGCTCAAACTTGTCATATTATATATAGAGACTAGATTAGAGAACTCTTATCACGCGTTGTTTGAAATTTCAGGATGGGACAACATTTGATGTAAACAAAATTTTGCATTTGGCATTTGATTTAATTTTTCTACTACATGTTTCACTTACCATTAAAAAATGAAAATAAAACTGAATACCCATTTGTGTCAAAATAGCATACATAAAAGTGAATATTCGGCCATAACAGCATCATGAGTATTAAAGAAAACATTGTGGCTCTGTCAGATTTCATGCATAATACGATATCAACCATAAAAACAGTGGTAAAACAATTTTTGATTCTTCTATTGTGACTTGTGGTAAAACAATCTCAATGCCGATTCCAAGGATTTAATGGGTCAGTTTTTTTTTCTTATTTTAATAAAAAGTAATTAAAAGTTTGGTGTAATTACTGTCATATGGTTTTTTTTTCTTCTTTCAAATTTGACTACTTGACCATTTAGTATTTTAATTTTCAAATTTGATAGCTTATTTATAGGTATATTATATATATTATATAATATTAATTCATCACAAATCATAATATATTAATTGGTCTGATAATTAAGTTAAGTGCTTCTCAACGTGTGTATATATATAATATAACGTTTTGTTAATTGAGGGATATGAGAGAGAGAGAGAGACTTACGAGAAGTTACAAGAATGATGAAGAACAAAACAAGACTATAGAACTTCCTATGAGAATAACAACTTGACGCATTGTAAATTCAACACAATAAAATAAAAAAAGTTAATAAAATATATGCTAAATACACATTATATGTGAGACTCTTGATTGATATATAGGAGTCTTTATGTGCTTAAATTTGTCACATTATATATGGAGACTAGACTAAAGAACCCCCTATATCACGTTGTTTGAAATTTCAGAGTGGAACAACGTTTGATGTAATATATAACACCATTTGGCATTTAGCATTTGATTTAATTTTTCTACTACATATTTCACTCACCTTTAAAATATGAAAATAAAACTGGGCATAATATAGTAGCAGCATCATGAGTATTAAATAAAACATTGTGACTCTGTCAAGGAGAAATAAAGAATATAATCATGTAGAAGTAAGAAGCCAGCCAACCATGCATTTGAGGACCAACAGTAACTTTCTCCGAAATCGAATTACAATTTGAACAACCAAAAGGTTGAGTACAGTTTGCATGATTGGACTTGCAAACTTGCAAAATGGGTAGAGGAGACCTGGACCTGGACTTGCAAAATGGGTTGAGTACAGTATTTTGTGATACTATTTTTTCTTTTTTTTTTTTTTTTTTTTTTTTTTTTTTTCTCAACAATATTCTGGTTTTTATAAACTTTATTTATCTTTTGATTTAAATTTGGTATTTATTTGCATGAAGTTATTTATTAAACTCAACAATAGAAAACCCTAGAAAACCCTAGAGAGAATTTTTTCACTTACCATTAAAAAATGAAAAAAGAAGAAGAAATATTTGGGCATATCATGATTCATGAGTAATGTATTAACGGAAAAAAAGGAGAAATGAAAAATATAATCATGATTCATGATAATTCCATGTACCTGATTGGACTTGCAACCTTGCAAAATGGGTTGAGGATTATGGGTTTGATTTTTACACGCGCTGTCGTAAACCACAACCCCACTCTCTCTAGTGATCCGGGCCATTTGTGTGGCACTGCCACGTTGTTTGTAATTTGAAGGTGGGCCAGCAGCACAGATAGTAATGTAATGTCCATTGATGATATAGTGAAAGTGAAGAGAGAGAACCGTTTGAGAGAGCAGCAAACAAAAAGTAGAAAATCTGAAGATAAATAATCAGTTTCAGGGTGTCAATACAAACCGTTTGGCATTACATTTTTCTTTTTTCTTGTACATCTACTTACCACAATAAATTAAATTGAGGACCTCGACCGTTGATTTTGGGTTTCATTTTTACACGCGCGACCAGCCTGCTTGTATAAATGCATCATCGAGTCCACTTCTTGTGTGCTCATCTTCATCAAATTCAGAAAACTTGATTCCCAAAAAAATGAAAATCCATCACCTCATCAATATTTCTCACTATTTTCTCCTTTCGTTGTGCTTATTGGGTATTGGACTTGCAACCGGTACTGCTGTGAAACCGAAATCAGTGTGCATTGAGGAAGAAAGGAAAGCACTTGTGAGCTTCAAACAAGATCTTACTGATCCCTCTGGTAGGCTTTCTTCTTGGGTGGGTCATGATTGCTGCCGCTGGGAAGGGATTTCATGCGACAACCGCACCGGTCATGTTTCCCAAATCGATCTCCGCAATCCATATTCATTTGCCTGGTATGATGAAGAGTGGGACGAGTTGGCTTATAACAAGTCTTGCTTGTGGGGTAAGATAAATCCTTCTTTGCTTAGCTTGAAACACTTGCATTACCTGGACTTAAGTTTGAATAATTTTGAAGGGATCCGCATTCCTAACTTCTTTGGAGAGCTTAAAACTCTGAGGTATCTCAACATCTCCTCTGCAGAGTTTGTAGGAGAGATTCCCCCTTCTCTTGGTAACTTATCAAATTTGAACTCTCTTCATGTCGGTGGTTCATATCTCTCTTCCACAAACTTGAATTGGCTTTCTCATCTCTCTTCCCTAAAATACCTCAATCTCATTGGAGTGGATCTTCATAGCAACACAAATTGGCTGCATGTTGTTAACATGCTTCCTTCCTTACTGGAGTTACACTTATCCGATTGCGGATTAGTAAGCCATCCACTATCTCTACAGAGGATTAACTTCACCTCACTTTCGGTCCTTGATCTTTCATCTAATGATTTCAATACTTCTTCATTTCCCAGCTGGGTTTTCAATCTTACTAGCCTCAAAAGACTTGATCTAGGATGGAATTCTTTCAGTGCTCATTTTCCAAATGAATTTGGTAACCTCAAATCTCTTGAATACCTAGATTTATTTCAGTCTAGGCTCAAAGAGAGTGGAGTGCCCAGAGTCCTTGGAAACTTATGCAAGCTAAAGACATTAAGTCTTGGGGGGAACAATTTTAGTGGTGGGGGGATTGAAGAGTTTTGGGGGAGTTTGTCAAATTGTCCAAATAATACACTAGTATTAGAGTCACTAGATTTGTTTACTTGCTGGCTGGAAGGCCAATTGCCGGCCTCCTTAGGAATGTTAAAAAGTTTGCAGTATTTGGACCTCTCTGGTAATCAAATGAACGGGTCCATTCCACAAAGTCTAGGACAACTCTCCGAGCTAATTGACCTCTATCTGTTTGGGAATTCTTGGGAAGGCAGTCTAACGGAAGCCCATTTCATTAATCTCACCAACTTGAAAAGGCTTTCAATAGGCAACGATTTAGATGACATCGAGAAGCCCATGTCCCTTGTTTTCAAACGTGTCTTATGATGGGTTCCTCCTTTCAAGCTCCACACAATTTTTATTATCAACTGCAACGTAGGTCCTAGTTTTGGTGTATGGCTTCAATCTCAGACTGAACTGGTAGATGTCACTCTTTCTAGAACTGGAATATCAGATTCTATACTAGAGGAATGGTTGTTGATGCTATCTTCCCAACTTGAAAACCTGGATTTATCTTACAACCAATTCCGAGGAAGGCTTTCATCCAACCAATTGATGAGATTTCCGATATTAAATTCATTAAATTTGGCTCATAATCAATTTGAGGGCCCACTCCCACTATGGTCACCTAATGCCACCTTCCTTGATCTCGAAAGCAATTTATTTTCCGGGCCAATTCCCTCGAGTGTTGACCAGCTCATGCCCAAATTGAAGGAATTGTATCTTTCAGAGAATCATTTAAATGGTACAATTCCACCTTCTATTTGCAACATGCAATACCTGCAAGTCCTTTCCCTGAGGAGCAATCATTTTTTTGGAGAATTACCTCACGCATGGAGTTTGGGGAGCCAAATAACCATTGTAGATGCTGCCTACAACAATCTCTCTGGTAATATTCCCACTTCAATGGGAGTATTAAGTTCTCTTGAAATATTGAAGCTAAACAACAACAATTTTGGCGGTAAGATTGCACATTCTTTGCACAATTTCTCTGTTTTGAAAAGTATCGATCTTGGAGGCAACAAATTATTTGGGAGCATACCTCCATGGATAGGAGGATCAGATGTATACATGCTACGATTGCGATCGAACTTTTTTACTGGACAAATTCCCAGACAATTGTGCAATCTTGGCAACCTTCACATCCTCGACCTCAGCCACAACAACTTTTCAGGTACTATTCCCAGCTGTTTCAATAATTTGACTTCTCTCGTTCGTGATGTTTCCAACATATTCCAAGATTACTATCAGGAGCCAACCATGCTGACATTCAAAGGACAAGAACTCGTGTATAACACCACAATAATGTTAGTAAAGAGCATTGATCTTTCATCAAATAATTTAGAAGGTGAAATCCCTCAAGAGATAGGTAGCCTCACTTTATTGGGTACCTTGAACTTGTCGAGAAATCAGTTGACTGGTAACATCCCCTCAATTGTTGGAAATATGCATGGCCTCGAAACTCTTGATCTCTCAAACAGCAGTCTTTCAGGACAAATTCCTCAAACCCTTGCATCCTTAACATTCTTGGCGCACTTGAATTTGGCTTATAACAACTTGGTGGGGAGAATTCCTTTGGGCAACCAATTTCAAACGTTCATTGATCCGTCAATTTATATGGGCAATCCATCATTGTGTGGGGTTCCTCTTCCAAAGTGCCCGGGTGATGACACTTTCACTGCTACAAATACAAAACATAGTAATGAAGATGGAAATGATAATGGAGCATTGTGGTTCTATGTCAGCATGATCCTTGGCTTTATCGTTGGCTTTTGGGGTGTTTGTGGCACATTACTCCTAAAGAAATCATGGAGGTATGCTTATTTTCGATTTTTGGACGACACCAAAGATAAGGTAGCACTAGCAATTGCGTTGAAAGTGGCTCGTTTGCAAAGAAAGTTTCATCATGTTTAGTAGTGTATTATAATTTGACCTAGTAAAACAGTGTAATGCATTCTATACACATGTTTGTTTTTCTTGGGAAAATTTGGATTAAATACCAATTTGGTTTTTTATTTTGACAAAATAATAGTCCATCAATCATTTTTGGACGGGGTACCAAGCAAAAGCCCATATATTTATAATTGGTCACAAGCTCACCAACAAACCACTAATGTTAGCAACCGCCCTGGGTCACCCACCACATTCGCTAATTGGTTACAAGCTCACCAACAAAGCCCATATATGGCTTTCTTGGGGTCCAGTAGGAGCACGTCCCGCTAATTATCTGGTTACCACACCTTAATTAGTTTGAATTAGTCTTGGATTAACCATATATTGAACCTCGCACATCTATGTACCATGTGATGTTTTTGTTTTTTTATTTTCCCTGTATTGTAATTTAAAAAAAAAGGTAACTGTTTCATTTCACTAGTTCTTCTATTTTTACCCCAAATGGTTGCTAAAATTCGAAAAACTATCTTCTTTTGTTCTTTTGTTCTTTTTTTTTGGTAACATTAATGGTCCTTAAGGTTATTCATTATCGAATATATGTATAGAAGTTGAGTATATTAAGTGGTGCAAGACTAAACACATGTACACAGACCAAGACTTATATCCATTGACCTTTAAGATATATATGTGCTAGCTAGAAACCATGAATAACAGCAACCCATTCAAAACAAAATAGGAAAGACAAAAAGAAAAAAGAAACCACAAATAACTTATCTGATCGTTAATGGATACTATGGAGACCCTCAAAGTCTCTGCTGCATATGTATTAATTCTCAAACATCCCCGTCACCAAAGACTTATTGGATCCAAGATTTTCACATCTAAAAGAGTATATAGCCCGATGCATGTAAGTCGTTGTCTAAGGAAGATATGCCACTGCATGAGAAGGCTTTAGTCACAACGATCGTAATTGATGCGAGCAAAAAACCAAAAATTGTGAGATTCTTGATACATATGTAGGCCGAGGTCTAGGGGCGTATGAGCTTTTATTTGCTTAAACTTGTTAATCACGTTATATGTAGAAACTAGACTCAAAAACTCTTATCTCACGTTGTTTGAAATTTTAAGGTGGGACAGCATTTGATGTAAATACCATTTGGCATTTGATTTATTTTTTCTACTACATGTTTTACTTACCATTAAAAATGAAAATAAAACTGAAAACCCATTTGTGTCGAAATAGCATAAATAAAAGTGAATATTTTGCCATAATAGCATCATGAGTATTAAAGTAAACATTGTGGCTCTGTCAGGTTTCATGCATAATACGATATCAACCATAAAAAAAAGGGAGTTTCACTAAAACACCCAAAATGGGGGTTGAAATTATAAAAAAACCCAAGCACTATTTAAACATATAAACACACCCAAAACCCATCATTACACACACTCAAAACCCATTTATAAACACACCCAAAAAGTTGACTTTGTGGTTGATTTTGGGTGTGTTTCTATGTTTAAATAGTACTTGGGTTTTTTTATAAATACATGTTTAGGATTGGGTTTATTTATAAATTTGTATAAAAAAAAGTGGTAAAGCGATTTCTGATTCTTCTATTGTAACTTGTGGCAATTGTGCCAGATTTCATGCAAAAGTAAGAAGCCAACCATCATTTGGGGACCAACAATCATCACTTTCTCCGAAATGGAATTACAATTTGAAAAGTAGACTACTACAGTTTAGTCATGAAAGTGGATACAATTTCATGTACCTGATTGGACCTGGAATCTTGTGTATCCTCAATCCCTTTCTACTGTGATGTGAAGCCATGTGGAGACTAGAAAGCCCCCTCGCTCACGTTCTTTGTAATTTCAAGGTGGGTCAGCACATATAGTAATGTCAATTGATACAGACATCATATAGTGCAGAGATAGAGTGAGAACAATGGCTAGAATTTGACAAACTGAACAATTATTTCTCCAAAATGGACTTACAATTTGAGCAGCAAACAAAAGTAGAGAATCTGAAGATAAAAATCATTTTCAGGGTGTAAATACAAACCGTTTGGCATTTGGCATTAGATTTTTCTTTTTTCTTCTACTTAAGCATTTACAATGGGCTCTCGAAATTGCTTTCTTAGACAAATTTTAGAGAGTAATTGGAAAAATACAACTCCAATCACACTTCCATCCATTTGCCATGGCAAAGGGCAAGGGCAATGGAAAATTTTAGATAGGAATTGGAAAAATACAGCCATTGCCCTTGCCCTTTGCCATGGCAAGGTTGTGGTGTTTCCACCCATTGCCATGGCAATAACTATTCACATGAGATATGAGGAGAGAAATTTGTATAGAGTTTTGGTGTGGGAAGTGAAGCATATGACTAAGTATTTATTTTTAAAAAATTCTGAAATTTTTTGTATTTTTTGTATAGATTTTTATAGTTTTTTGTTGCTGACGTCAGCAAACCCAAGCTTGACCTCGAGCTCATTTTACCTGAGGGCTGGCCTGGTTTCATGGGCCCTAGCAATTGCCCTGGCAACTTAAGGCCGCTGGAATCATGAAATGGGGCTTGGGCCCCCTATTGCCTTGGCACGGGCTATCCGATGGAAAGGCTCTAATTACCTCTTAAAATAAGGAGACATCTAAGAGCTCCTAAGGAGAGGCAAAAGACTCGTAGTGGCTCCTCATAAATTAATAATAAGTGTTTTGATTAATTTATATATATATATAAATATTAGTCTCCTTCTATTGATGGATTCCTCAAATAATTTTATTTAAGGGATCTCTCAAATAATTTTATTTGAAGGACACCATTTAGGGTCCCATACTAATTTTTTTTTCTTTCAAAGATCCAAACCATATATTTTTTAAGTTTACATTCATAGATCATCCTTGCAAAAAATTAGACAAATCAAAAGCCGTTTCAACCTCCAATTGTGTCCAACAAAATCAATGAACACGATGCTTCAATAAAGTACTAAAATTTTAATATTTCAATTGAGTGGTAAAATAATATCGGATTCATGATTTTTTGTAGAGATGATCTTTGAATGAATATCTATAAAATCGACGGTTTAGATTAGTGAAATACAATAAAAAGTGGGCCCTACAAGGGTGTCCCTCAAATAAGCTTATTTTAATGATTCCTCATTGAAGCTTATCTATATACAATCCCTTTCTAGTGAGAGATCCCTCAATTAATTTTATTTGAGGGACACCCTTTAGGGTCCCCTACAAATTTTTTTCAACGATCCAAACCATCTATTTTTTTATGTCTACATTCATAAATCATCCTTGCAAAAAATTAGATAAATTGGAAACCGTTTCGACATCTAATTGTGTCCTATAAAATCAATGAATATGGTGCTTCAACAAAGTACTAAAATTTCAATAATTCAATTAAGTGGTAAAATGATATCGAATTCAAGTGAATGGTGCTTCAAAAAAGTACCAATCAAAAGCCCATATATATTTATAATTGGTCACAGGCTCACCAAAAAACCACTACTATTAGCAACCGCCCTGGGTCACCCACCACATTCGCTAATTGGTTACTAGCTCACCAACAAAGCCCATATATGTCTTTCTTGGGGTCCAATAGGAGCACGTCCCGCTAATTATCTGGTTACCACACCTTAATTAGTTTGAATTAGTCATGGATTAACCGTATATTGAACCTCGCACATTTATAGGTATATATTATATATATTGTAGGTATATTGAAGCTCGCACATTTGCAGGTATATTTCAAATACAACAATCTCTCAGGCAAACAATAATAATTATGTTTTGGTTCTACTATATGTTAGCATGGCACCTTATTTGTGAACAAGTTAGATAACATAAGGAATATATATAAGGGAAGGCTAGCAATTGCAATAAAAAAAGTGGCTCCTTTTCAAAGGAAATTTTGATTTGAACATAAATAAGTTCTTGAATTCACTACACTTGGGTAACTATGAAATTTATGTACCATGTGATGTTTTTTATTTTTTTTATTTTCACTGTATTGTAATGAAAAATAAGTAACTTTTTCATTTCACTAGTTCTTCTATTTTTATCGCAAATGGTTCATGAGGTTCGTGAAATTATCATCTTAATACATATATATATATATATATATATATAATAGATGCTATGGAGACCCTCAAAGTCTCCACTGCATATGTATTAATTCTCAAACCTACCAGTCACCAAAGACTTATATTTGGAAATCCAAGATTTCCACATCTAAAAGAGTATATAACCCGGTGGATGTTAGTCATTGTCCAGGAAAAGGAGCCACTTGACGAGAGCATGTTTTGGCACCATACACAAAACCAAAAATTGTGAGACTCTTGATTGATATATGCTTTTTATGTGCTTAAACTTGTCATATTATATATAGAGACTAGATTAGAGACCTCTTATCACGCGTTGTTTGAAATTTCAGGGTGGGACAACATTTGATTTAAACACCATTTTGCATTTGGCATTTGATTTAAATTTTCTACTACATGTTTCACTTACCATTAAAAAATAAAAATAAAACTGAATACTCATTTGTGTCAAAATAGCATAAATAAAAGTGAATATTTGGCCATAACAGCATCATGAGTATTAAAGAAAACATTGTGGCTCTGTCAGGTTTCATGCATAATACGATATCAACCATAAAAACAGTGGTAAAGCAATTTCTGATTCTTCCATTGTGACTTGTGGAAATTGAGCCAAGTCGGGTTTCATGCAAAAGTAAGAAGCCAACCATGCGCATTTGGGGACCAACAATCACTTTCTCCGAAATGGAATTACAATTTGAGCAGGCAAAAGTAGACTACACGTAGTTTAGTCAAGAAAATGCATGTAATTCCATGTACCTGATTGGACTTGCAAACTTGACAAATGGGTTAAGGACTTGGACCTGGAATCTTGTGTATCCTCAATCCCTTTCTTTTGCAGTGTCACCCCGTGTGTGTCCGCCGGGGCATTTGTTTGGTACTAGCACGTGATGGAGACTAGAAAGCCCCCTTCGCTCACGTTCTTTGTCATTTCAAGTTGGGCCAGCACAGACAGTAATGTCAATTGATATAGTGCACTGCAGAGACTGAGAGAGAACCGTGGCTAGAATTTGCCAAACTGACCAATTATTTCTCAATGCCGATTCCAAGGATTTAATGGGTCAGTTTTTTTTTCTTATTTTAATAAAAAGTAACTAAAAGTTTGGTGTAATTACTGTCATATGGTTTTTTTTTCTTTCAAATTTGACTACTTGACCATTTTAATTTTCAAATTTGATAGCTTATTTATAGGTATATTATAGATATATATATATATTATAATATTAATTCATCACAAATCTTAATATATTAATTGGTCTGATAATTAAGTTAAGTGCTTCTCAACGTGTGTATATATATATATATATATATATATATATATAACGTTTTGTTAATTGAGGGATATTAGAGAGAGAGAGACTTACGAGAAGTTACAAGAATGATGAAGAACAAAACAAGACTATAGAACTTCCTGTGAGAATAACAACTTGACGCATTGTAAATTCAACACAATAAAATAAAAAAAGTTAATAAAATGTGTGTATTTTGATATATAGGAGTCTTTATGTGCTTAAATTTGTCACATTATATATGAAGACCAGACTATAAAACCCCCCTATATCACGTTTTTTGAAATTTCAGAGTGGAACAACGTTTGATGTAATATATAACACCATTTGGCATTTAGCATTTGATTTAATTTTTCTACTACATGTTTCACTCACCTTTAAAATATGAAAATAAAACTGGGCATAATACAGTAGCAGCATCATGAGTATTAAAGAAAACATTGTGACTCTGTCAAGGAGAAATAAACTCAACAATATTCTGGTTTTTATAAACTTTATTTATCTTTTTATTTGTGTTATTTTATGACTTAAATTTGGTATTTATTTGCAGGCGCTGTCTCTAGTGGTCCGGGCCATTTGTGTGGCACTGCCACGTTGTTTGTAATTTGAAGGTGGGCCAGCAGCACAGATAGTAATGTAATGTCCATTGATGATATAGTGAAAGTGAAGAGAGAGAACCGTTTGAGAGAGCAGCAAACAAAAAGTAGAAAATCTGAAGATAAATAATCAGTTTCAGGGTGTCAATACAAACCGTTTGGCATTACATTTTTCTTTTTTCTTGTACATCTACTTACCACAATAAATTAAATTGAGGACCTCGACCGTTGATTTTGGGTTTCATTTTTACACGCGCGACCAGCCTGCTTGTATAAATGCATCATCGAGTCCACTTCTTGTGTGCTCATCTTCATCAAATTCAGAAAACTTGATTCCCAAAAAAATGAAAATCCATCACCTCATCAATATTTCTCACTATTTGCTCCTTTCGTTGTGCTTATTGGGTATTGGACTTGCAACCAGTACTGCTGTGAAACCGAAATCAGTGTGCATTGAGGAAGAAAGGAAAGCACTTGTGAGCTTCAAACAAGATCTTACTGATCCCTCTGGTAGGCTTTCTTCTTGGGCGGGTCATGATTGCTGCCGCTGGGAAGGGATTTCATGCGACAACCGCACCGGTCATGTTTCCCATATGGATCTCCGCAATACATATTACGAGTCCACGACTGATGAAGCGTGGGACGAGTTGGCTTTTAAGCAGTCTGGCTTGTGGGGTAAGATAAATCCTTCTTTGCTTAGCTTGAAACACTTGCATTACTTGGACTTAAGTTGGAATAATTTTGAAGGGATCCACATTCCTAACTTCTTTGGAGAGCTTAAAACTCTGAGGTATCTCAATATCTCCTTTGCAGAGTTTGAGGGAGAGATTCCCCCTTCTCTTGGTAACTTATCAAATTTGAACTCTCTTCATGTCGGTGGTTCATATCTCTCTTCCACAAACTTGAATTGGCTTTCTCATCTCTCTTCCCTAAAATACCTCAATCTCATTGGAGTGGATCTTCATAGCAACACAAATTGGCTGCATGTTGTTAACATGCTTCCTTCCTTACTTGAGTTACACTTATCTAAATGTGGATTAGTAAGCCATCCACTATCTCTACAGAGGATTAACTTCACCTCACTTTCGGTCCTTGATCTTTCATTTAATGATTTCAATACTTCTTCATTTCCCAGCTGGATTTTCAATCTTACTAGCCTCAAAAGACTTGATCTAGGAGGGAATTCTTTCAGTGCTCATTTTCCAAATGAATTTGGTAACCTCAAATCTCTTGAATACCTAGATTTATCTCAGTCCAGGCTCAAAGGGAGTCCCATAAACCAGTATAAGAACAAATTTGAATTGAAACCCTGTAGTAAAAGAACGAACATATCTTTAAACAGAGCTACTCAAATAGCAGCATATCCTGCTTACCAAAACAGAGCTATCCTAAACCCTGTAACAAAAGAACCAGCATATCCAAATACCGATTTTCAGGGTTCACCAACTAATTTTTTAATAACCAAATAGAAAACCTTACCAAAAGCAATCATATAGTATTTTAATAACTAAATTGTTTAACCTGATTTCATCAAAATAGTAACACAATCAAATCAATTTCAGTATTCGGATAAATTTTTTTTTATGAATTAGCACATCATTCACACATAATTCATGGAATCTGATTAACCAATTTGTGCATTTGCTTAAATTGGATTGAAGTTTTCTTGTCGATCAACAATCACTCATTTACCAACATAGATTCCGAGAAATTGTCTTCTTGATGATCAACCTCATGTATTAAAAATCAATTCCTTGTTTGGAGCCCAAAAGTTTTTTATTAAAAATAAAATATGACAAAAGTCTCAAAACAATCCAAATCTAAAGCAAATCATCAACCAGTTCAATCACAAGCAACAATCAAAGGCTTAGATAGCTAGAATACCTCAGTTTTAATGATTCAAAATGAAAAACATAGAAAATAAACTCTGCAAGCAACAAAATCCCAAAAAGACGATGCCTAAACAAATTATACTAATATAGTCAATAACAATTTTTCATTTTTTCCTATAAAGTAAAAAATGGAGAATTTTAAAAACTCATCACAAAGTCCTCATTCACAATCTCGAACCTTAATTAATCAGAAAAATGTACTAATATGGTATGAAAGTTAAAAAAAGAAGAAAAAATACCCAAGAATCCAATAAAAGTAGCAGATCAATTGAAGTATTATAAAGTGATTCTTTAGTTCTAACCTTTGTAAGCATATTATTGGATTAAAAGAGTTTTCAAGTTTTGTTGTCTCAGTAATTAAGAGATAAAGTGATTTTTGAGTTCTAAGTATTGTTATTACTCTACCTATCATCACAACAACAAATTAACAACCCATTACAGCAGCAACATCATTACAAATTGTCAAAATTGGCATGCTTACTTTCCCACAACAATAATATTAACTACAACAGATCATCACAACAGTAGAATCAATTTGGGCAAGGAATCAAAGGATTCAACAACATGCTCAGAAACCCATGAGCAAGCCATTAATTTGTTAAACATTACTAGACCCTGACAAATAATAAAAATGGGTACAAATTTATTAATTAGAAAAAATAAAGTATAAACGGGATAGAGAACAAACCTCATTAATGGCAAGCACTTACGACAATATTAAGTCTAATGCAAAATTAACCGATGAAGATTTGGGATCACAAAAGCTGAGCTGAACGATCATGCCCAAAGCTTCATTCCGTAAATCTTAGGGAGCTCATCAAATGCCGTAGGAAGCTTCCTCCAAACAACCTGGTACTGTTGGAAACTGCAACACAAAAAGACACCTTAATTGCAGCTCAAACATGTAAATGCAATTTCATATCTATTCATAAACTTCTAAATCTTAAACCAAATGGACTTGATAGTTTCGGCCCACTGAATCACACTGTTTTTTTTTTCAAATCACAAAAAAAAAAGATCCTATACTCGTCATGTCATACTTTATTTTGACAGTTTCGTATAATATAAAACTTCCAAAAAGAATTTGCAATGTTAGCAAAGCCAGCAGATGATTTTATTCTACAAAACATAAATAAAGAATTGTTACAAAAGCATTCTAGATCTGTTCGCAGCTAGAAACAATAAAGATGTACACCAAAGCAAATAGCATATGCTAGAAACAATGCAAATGCATTATATATTTGAACAAAGCAACTGACCCTAAGGAGGTTTTTCTAGACAATCTAGACTCCCCTAGGATACTGCTAAGGTATTTACAAAACATTAACAATGTTGGTCAATGCTGAGACTTTGCAAGTCATAAACAAACAGAATTCGACCTTCTCAAATTATTTAAACCATAAGGCGAGCCAGTTTTACTGTCTGATAGGCTAAAGCCTTTACTCTGACAACGGTCCCAAATGACCTCAACCATGTTGTGTGCTGTTGTTATACCCAGGTATCTTTTGCATTTAGTATTTTCATCAAACCAATGTCTTTTTTCTCTCTTTAATCAATCTAAATGGTCTGTGACTACAATTTTCTTTTAAAGAGATAAAAATCATCCATCTCATACATAACTTAAGTCAATTTATAAATAAAACTTTCCCTTTGTCAGATTAGTTTCCTTTTGTTTATCTTAAATTACATTATCTGTTTGTTCTTGAAGAAAAAACCCTTTTAAACGATCAACTTGTCCACTATAAACCTAAAGAAAATTAAACCCATTTTCATATGGTGCCGTTAGCTAATTCTCTATGCTCTATTAAACAGAAAAGATCAAATTTATGCAAGCAAATTGAACACTTTGCTAAAGCAAAACAGCAATTAACCAACTTAAAAAGAAAAAAACCCACAACAAATCCCAACAAGACAAAAAAAAAAAAAAAAAAAATAAAAAAATCTCCATTCTTATCTCCCAACAATACCAACTAAATCTAAAATATGGTTCTAGTTGTATCAACAACTCCAACCAGATAATAAAGGTAGTTTTCAAACTTAGAAAGAGAGAAGAATTAAAATTCGGAAATCAAACACCCAAATTGAGAAACCCTAACAAACAATGATTTGACGGGAAATTTAAAACCCAACACACTGAGAACTATGCAAGCAAAAAAATTACAGAAACTTGTGCTAGATTGAGGGATAGACGAAGGGTAAGAAATAACCCTAATCCTAAATGATTTGACGGGAAATTTAAAACCCAACCCACTGAGAACTATGCAGGCTTACCTTGTCCGATAATTAGAGAAGACGACTATGATATATGAGGCCTCTCTCTTTCGCACTTCTCTTAAGTGAACGCGGCTTTCTTTCTGGTTTGAGAAGCGAACGCGGGTTTGAGAGATGAAGGGGCTTTTTTTTTGGGTAAACAACCAAAACCCACTTGAACTATAACGCTTATTGAAATGTCCACCCTAAATTATTTTTTCAGCCAATTTAACCATCAGACTATTTTAAATGGCCAATTTACCCCTTGTCGTTAGTTTCCATGTAGTTTCATCTGGGCCTGGGCACGATTCGGGTCGAGTCTAATTTTAAGTGACCGGTGGGCCGAACCAAGGAAGATATCAGTTCTTGGGTTGGGTCGGGTCCAAATTGAAAGCCAAAAATAGGCCAACCCGACAAGCTCCGGTTTGGTTTGGTTTTTTGGTCGGTTTTGGGCTTTAGCCCAATACTAGTTATTTTTAAGCCCAAATCGCTTTTTTTGGGCCAGAATCTTTTTTTTTTGTCAAATTGCCAGAATCTTTTTTTTGTTGTCAAATTGCTAAAACCTAATTAGATTATTTCTTCAAAAGCCCAATTTCCTTAGTTTTTCCACAATGCCAATTTTTCTAACAGGCCAGCCCATTTCGTTTTTCCTTACCCAAATCATGTAAATTCAACTCAACTATAACCTGCTTTTTAAAAGTTTCTAAACTAAATTATAATCACAGGCATCATCCAACTTTCAAATACAAGCAAAGCACCAAAATTCAAATTATATTTTACAACCCATAGCAAAAAATATAAGTAAAACACCAAATTATATTTTAAATACCAAACAGATTCACTTGTATGATTGTATCAGTTAAGGGAGCTGCAAAAAGAAATACACTTGTATTAGTTAAAAATCACTCACCAAACAACCAGAAGCATACTCCAACTCAATAGTTAATTTCATAAAATAAAATAAAAAATTGTTTGCAGTTTCTGTTTGAAATCATTTAAATAGAACAAAACAAGTTATAGCACCTCAATAACTCAATAAGTTGTGGTTGCAGCTCTTCATCTCTCAGTTTTCGAATTTCTTTAAATATTGATTCCGCATTTCCTTTGGCAACCAAAATCATATAAACATGAATTATACACCATGAACAAGCAAATCAAAGTAACAGAAAGGGCTTTAAAAGAGAAAAACCCACCTTCAGTTTCCTCCAAGGCAGATTGCATTTTATCTATGTTGTAGCCTAGCATCCTGGAAACATCCAATCTATGTTGGAGCCTAGCATCCTGGAAACATCCAAACTAGAAGAGAATCATGCTGGCATACAGAGAGAACAACATATATGATGAGTAAGCAAAAAAAAACAACCAATATTAGAAGTAACAAGATTTTTTAGCATGCATTTTTATATATTCCTATATATATGATCACCAGTATCTACCCTGTATATAATCCCTACACAAATAGCCAAACCCCAAATTGCGCCTTCTCTTTCTTTCTAATCTTATATCCAACGTGAATGCCATTTAAATGCATGAAAGGTTTTGATTATCTTTAACGATTATTATATATCTTGGTAAGTTTTGGTCATTGATGGTACTGAAGTAGTTTTGCATTTCAGTGTAAACTTGTAAATTTGAATTTTGAGTTGTTAGTGTCTGAAGTGGGTTTTATGGGAAATTTTAAACTTAGGATTCATTGCCAACTTGAACAAGCGCAAAAGAAAGTTCTTGAATACTGAGTACATAAAAATCACATTTTCACTGACTTTCATGTCTAGATAACTTTAAAAATTTTGACATAATTTATGTGTTGATATCGAAACATGCATGAAAGAATCGCACAGAAAGCACAAGTAGTCATACTAGTTAGTTCTCCATTCTTGCCACAGGAAACTGGCACTAAATAAACCAGACGATACATAAAAAGATTATTATTGAGGGGTGAAAGGGTTCTGATTCATTGAAACAGTTGGATACTCAATATATCTTGAGATAAAATATTTATGTTCACATATATATAAGTTGGCCTTACATCGTGGCAAAAGAGTAAGAACATATGCTCAGACGCTTTCTTGATGACTTAGTTTAGATCCGAAATGAAAAATAACGAGGAAATATAAGATGTTGTAATAAGTTCACTTGGAACAAAAAGGACAAAATGGACTCGTGTTAAAAGAATACCAAATGGATTAAAGGGATGTGATGTCCTTTTAACTTCTTCAGGCAAAATTTTTGGCAGCCATATGGCTTGCGATTAGACCAGTTACTAGCAAAAGGTGCCCGTGCAATGCTGCGGGTTTTAAAATTGCGTGAAATGTGTATAAAGCGATGAAAATAGGCAGGGAACATATCAACTACCCAATTGCCAAAACACTCAAAGGATTTACCAACATGTTCAAATATTGTAATCATCTAAACCTATCATTACAACAACAAATTAACACCAACCAATTGTCAATTGATGCCATTAGCTAATTCCTATGCTCTATTCACAAAAGTTAAAACAATTAATTGAAATTTCACCGTAGAAACTCATCCCTTGCTTAACAGAATTGAAAACACCAACCAAACCGCTCTGTCCAAAGCAACGAAAGACCACCTGCAAATATCAAAAGAAAACATGGTTTTAAAAAAATGGAAGAAAAAGGAAGAAAAAACAGAAAAATCGGAGAAGAAATTAGCTTGAGTATTTTATGCATGCACAATCTTTTCATTAAACCAAAAAATTAGCTTGAGCAAAATCTGTATGGAAAGAAACCACAGGGAAAATGTATGTAATTGAGTTCCTTAAGTCTCCATTCAATGCAAAAATCAGCAAAAATCTGCTTGGTAAATCAAACCCACAAAAAAAAATTATGAATTTTAACTTTTCTGAATTCTTTCTCGTCATCACTAATGTCCACAAACAGAATTCCAATTTAGAAGTCAGATTTTCAAATCCCACATATTTCCCATACCAGTCTTCTTCAAGTTATCATAAAGTTCTAATTCGTCAAAATTATCTATCAGCCTTAGCATGGAGAATGCAAGACAGCTGTTGAATTATAAGTGCTCAAGCTGATTTCATAAATTAGATACGTTTAGTTTTCTTATTGTTTGTTTTATTGGTAATCCAAGTGTCATAGTTTGATTGGTTAGTTTGTGGATGGCTGAGATTGCATTGTGATGTAATGCATCCAGCTGTCATTGTGCCTAACGGATATATCCTCACACCAAGTGTGTGTGTTTGTACTGTACAAATTTCTTACAGAAGAGAAATGAGAATGTTCTCTCTGCTACACGTATAGCAGAGGATTTTTGGATTTAAGCTTTTTCTTCTCTCCTTGTTTTTGTTCTCTACCAATACACATACAGATTCACAAAAACACTAACATGGCCTCAGAGCCAGGTTCGATTATCTGAAGCTGGGCATTCGTTTTGTGAAGAAAATCGATCGAGGTGAAGCTCATTCATAACTCACGAAGCTGATTGAGCTCGATCTATTGTCGATCTGAAAACAACTTGTTTCCAGGTACATCTGAAATTCGAAATGGCTGGATCTGGAAGCTCAGAGGCTAGAATCCCAATTTTCTCTGGTGAGAACTATGAGTTTTGGAGGATTAAGATGGTTACCATATTCAAATCGTATGGTTTATGGAGTTTGGTAGAGAAGGGTTTTTCAATCCCGGATTCAAAGAAGAAGAAGGTATCTGAGGACATCTCAGAAGAAGAAGTGGATGAGAAAACAGCTGCGATTCTCATGAAGGATGCGAAAGCATTTGGTATCATCCAAAATGCCGTTTCTGATCAGATTTTTCCACGGATTGCACATGCAGATTCTGTGAAGATGGCTTGGGAATTGCTATATGCTGAATATCATGGTGGAGAGCATGTCAGATCGGTAAAACTTCAAAACCTCAGACGTGAATTTGAGTATACTAGGATGCGTGATAATGAATCCTTATCTGACTATCTTACTAGACTGAATGAATTGATTAACCAAATGAAAACATTTGGTGAAGCTCTGTCAAATGAGAGGCTGGTTCAGAAGGTTTTAATTAGTCTTAGTAAGAAGTATGATCCTATATGCCTTGTGATTGAAAACACAAAGACACTAGAAACTGTAGAGTTGCAGGAAGTGATTGCCATTTTGAAGAGTAAAGAGCAAAGGCTTGAAATGCATAGTGTTGATACAGTTGAGAAGGCATTTGCCTCATTCACTGTGAATTCCAAAGGACAGAATAAAAATGCTTCTCAGTCTAGTTCATCTAAGTCACAGAGAAACTGGAATTCTAAAGGGAAGTCATGGGAGTCAAAAGACAAGTCACAGCAGAATAATTATTCTGCACAGAGCAACACCTCAACACAGTTCTCAAACTAGGAAACTACAAAGCCTCAATGTAAGGTGTGTTCAAAGCATCATTTTGGTGAGTGCAGGTACAAGGGAAAACCAAAATGCTATAATTGTGACAGATTTGGACATCTTGCTAGAGATTGTACGGTGAACAAGAATGTGCAGAAGGCTAATTGTTTAAATCAAATGGAGGTGACAGGGAACTTGTTTTATGCAAATTGCACAACCACTGAGATCAAAACCAATGGAGAATGGTATGTTGATAGTGGCTGTAGCAACCATATGACAGGAAACTTAGAGTTGCTGGTTGATGTGAGAACAAATGTGGCTGGAAAAGTACAAATGCCAACTGGTACACTTGTGAGTGTAGCTAGAATTGGTTCATTGAGGATTGATACAGCAAGGGCAGAAAATACATCAGAGACGTAATGTATCTGCCAGGATTGAAAGAAAATCTGCTAAGTGTTGGGCAAATGGATGAGCACGGATATTGTCTGGTGTTTGGAGAAGGGATGTGCAGGGTATTTGATAGTCCATCCATGGATTATCTCATCATCAAGGTACAAATGAAGAGTAATAGATGTTATCATGTATCCTTTCTAGCTGAAAAACAGTTACTGATGAAGACTAGTTTCACTCAATCCACATGGATTTGGCATAAGAGACTTGGTCATCTGCATTTTGGAGGTTTGAAACATTTAAGGGATAAAGAAATGGTACATGGTTTACCAACATTGGAAGAACAAAGTGGTGTGAAGGGTGTCAATTTGGAAAACAACACAAGAATGTTTTTCCAAAAGAACAAGCTCAAAGAGCAAGCAAAGCACTCGAGTTAGTACATGTAGACCTTTGTGGTCCTATGAGAAATGAATCGGTTGCAAGGAACAGATATTTCATGCTGATTATAGATGATTTCACAAGAATGATTTGGGTATACTTCTTAAGAAACAAATCAGAAGCTTTCAGCTGTTTCAAGAAGTTCAAGTCTATGACTGAATTACAAACTGGACACCAAGTGAAATGCATAAGAAGTGACAGAGGTTGAGAGTTTCTATCTACTGAATTTGTGGAGATTTGTGAAGCTCACGGCATTCAAAGGCAGCTTACAATGGCCTATACTCCTCAGCAAAATGGAGTGGTAGAGAGAAAGAATAGGACTGTCATTGAGATGGCAAAATCAATGTTACATGATAAGGGAATGCCTTATTTCCTATGGGCAGAAACAGTGCATACAGCTGTTTATTTGCTGAACAGATGTCCTACCAAAGCTCTCCATAACATTACCCCATTTGAATCATATAGTGGAAGGAAGCCTGGAATTGCACATCTGAAAGTTTTCGGTTCTCTGTGTTATGTTCATGTACCAGCTGAATTGAGGCACAAGCTGGATCCTAAGAGTACAAAGGGAGTGTTTGTGGGATATGCCACTTGTGAAAAAGGCTATAGAGTTTTTGATCCAGTTTCTAACAAGCTTATATTGTCAAGGGATGTGACATTTGATGAAGAAGGTGCTTGGCATTGGACAGATAACAATGATTCAGTTATGACACCATACACAATTGAAAATCAAGTAGATTTTGATTTTCATTCTGACAGTTCAAATGGCAACTCTACTGTTACACCTCAAACTCTGAATATGCAGGGGAGAACATCATCAACTCCAAGTGATATAAGCAGTGAAGAAAAGAGAACTCAAGCTTATGATCACACTCCTTTAAAATGGAGAAAGCTAGATGATGTTCTTGCTCAGTGTAACTTGTGCATCATGGAACCAAAAAAATATGCTGATGCTGCTCAAGATGAATCTTGGCTTAAAGCTAAAAGAATGGAACATGGGAATTGGTGGATAGACCAACTGAAAAACCAGTGATTGGAGTTAAGTGGGTTTACAAGACAAAACTGAATTTGGATGGCTCTGTGTGAAAGAATAAAGCACGATAAGTTGTCAAAGGGTATGCTCAGAAGCCTGGACTGGATTATAATGAAACTTATGCACCTGTAGCCAGATTGGACACCATTAGAACACTTATTGCGCTTGCTGCTCAAAAGGATTGGAAACTGTACCAGCTTGATGTGAAATCTGCCTTCCTTAATGGTGTGCTACAAGAGGAAGTCTATATCAATCAACCTGAAGGTTTTGTAATTAAAGACAAAGAGGACAAAGTTTATCGTCTACATAAAGCTCTCTATGGTCTGAAGCAAGCACCAAGGGTTGGTATGGAGAGATAGACAGCTATTTCACTCAATGTGGTTTTAAGAAAAGCCTAAGTGAAGCAACTTTATACACCAAAGAAAGGGGAGATAAGGATATCCTAATTGTCTCTATTTATGTAGATGACATTGTCTACACAGGGAGCAATAAGGAGTTACTAGATGAGTTTAAGGAAGATATGATGACTAAATATGAGATGACAGATTTAGGTCTCTTGCATCACTTTCTTGGCATGGGGGTGATTCAAACCAAGTCTAGTATATTTCTACATCAAAAGAAGTATGCTAGCACCTTGTTGAACAAATTTGGCTTGATTGAATGCAAATCTATAACCACACCTCTTGTTGCCACTGAGAAACTAGCTAAGGATGATGGGAGTGGAGCTGCAAATGAAGAACACTACAGAAGCATTGTTGGTAGTCTGCTGTACTTAACTGCTACAAGACCCGACATCATGTATGCTTCAAGTCTGCTAGCCAGATTCATGCACTGTCCTACAAACAGGCATTATGGAACAACTAAACGTGTTTTGAGATATGTCAAGGGAACTCTAGACTACGGCTTAGAGTATGTGAAAGGCAGGAAATCAGTTCTGATCGGCTACTGTGACAGTGATTGGGGAGGATCAATTGGTGATAGCAAAAGCACATCGGGGTACGCTTTTACCTTTGGGAGTGGAGTGTTTTCTTGGGCTTCAGTCAAACAGAACTGTAGCATTGTCCACTGCAGAAGCTGAGTACATCAGTGCAGCTGAAGCAACTACACAGGCTATTTGGTTGCGTTTTGTGCTAGAGGACTTTGGAGAGCTACAAACTGAAGCTACTTCATTGCATTGTGACAATATCTCAGCAATTGCAATCACTAAAAACCCTGTGTTCCACCAGAAGACTAAGCACATTGATAGAAGATACCATTTTATCAAGGATGCTTTGCAAGAAGGAGTCATTGATCTGGAATACTGTCCTACCAATGAACAACTAGCTGACATTTTCACCAAACCATTGGCCAAAGATCGGTTCAATTATCTTAGAGGCATGCTTGGAGTGAAATCAGCTCAAGACTTAAAGGGGAGTGTTGAATTATAAGTGCTCAAGCTGATTTCATAAATTAGATACGTTTAGTTTTCTTATTGTTTGTTTTATTGGTAATCCAAGTGTCATAGTTTGATTGGTTAGTTTGTGGATGGCTGAGATTGCAGTGTGATGTAATGCATCCAGCTGTCATTGTGCCTAACGGATATATCCTCACACCAAGTGTGTGTGTTTGTACTGTATAGATTTCTTACAAAAGAGAAATGAGAATGTTCTCTCTGCTACACGTATAGCAGAGGAGTTTTGGATTTAAGCTTTTTCTTCTCTCCTTGTTTTTGTTCTCTACCAATACACATACAGATTCACAAAAACACTAACACAGCGGTCTGCTTATATACCAGAAAACAAATAGGCACACAAACACACATATATATATTACAACTAAAATTATTACAGTTGTGGTTCATTAGGCACAAATAACTTGAGTTTAATTAATTAGCACCACAATAAATAAGTCAATAATCTGAAGCCACCATAATACCAGGTTCACATGATGCCTTAAATCTTAAACCGAAAAATTGGTTAGAATATTACCTGGAGAAATTTTATGTGCTGGTTCCACCTTCAGTTTTTGAAGCTGACCAGTAAAGAAAATATCGACCTCATTCAATGCAATGTGAGAACAAAAACTCAACAAAAGTACTTGCAGCACAGAGTGCTTCAAAATTTACCTGAACTGCAAGTTCAATAATAAAGAAGTCTTCTGCACCACCAACCAGAAAAGCATTTGGAAAAGGAGGAAATTGCCTTAAGAAGCTCCCGAGTTTGTCAACTGCATGAATCAACACATTACTGGAGAATTTACAATTTCTTGATTCAGGGGCGGAAGATGCATTACCAGAAAACCCACCTGAGTTATAAAAAAAAATATAAACCTCGAAAGTAAAGAAATAGATCTCACTGGACCTGAGAATTACTGAAGAATTCTAAAGTTAATTATATTCCAATGCTAATATATTGGCTCCTCAATCAATGTCATGGCTAGAATGATAGTTATCCACATCAAATAAAAAGTTCCCTGTAAAAGTTAAAAAAACATGAACTCCTGACCTACAGGGATTTTATTCAACCGTTTGGGCTCCAAAGCAACATCCTCAAGAAGATACTGAAATACAATGTGGGGTAAAACAACACAAAAATGTAATGAATATTTCATAAAGTTCTTCAACAAAAGCATATAAATGTCATCTTTATGAGGGCTCATACACAAAAGAGGGATTGAAATCGCCTTGTATTTGATTGAGTATCAATCCTGAAAATATGCAGAGAGTGCCATTAATAAGTTTGTTAAGCTAAATGGAGAATAAATTATAAATTGTGTGCAAGCACAAATTAAACCTAGTAACTTTCTTTTTCGGTTACAATTAAACCTAGTAACTTTGAAAAGGAAGAAAAAGAACAAATTTGATTATCCAAATATGCTATTTGTCATTATATATATGGACAGGAGCAGCCAGAAGACGAATGCTATTTGAAAAACAACAATATAATATTTGACATATAATCATATTCTCTGTTTCATCCGTCATTCAAATCTTCCCTTTCAGAAAGCCAATTTTAAACAGAGTAAATAAAGTCCAAAAAGTCAATTTCCTTGAAAATACCTTTACCAGTCAAAATCTGTCTGATTTTGAGCCGTAGCCGTAGTGGGTTGGGCTTGAACGCACATTAGCGTCACCTGCAAGGAATGGATCGAAATCTTAACTTATTCTAATCCTATCCAATTTTTAACAAACACCTTCTCCGCTACTTGAGCTAATTCCAAGAGCATACACCGAAATTATTTTTGAGTAAAAGCAAAAACAACCCGGCAAAGGGTTTTAAGGTAAATCTGAAGTAAATCTAGATACGGGCAGTCTCTTATTTATAAGTCACATGTATTAGATAAAACTAAATATTTGCAATCATTCGTAAATCAAATGTATCAAGTAAATCTGAATAAACTTGACTATGAGCAAACCATGCGTATATGGTAAATAAAAATTCATGAAATGAAGTGGAAAACTCATGTACCTGACGGATAACAGTGGCAGATATGCACATTGTGGACGATGACATTGCATATGAACTGCAATGTGATGTAGCCACCACCCACAATGTGGACATTGGCTCCACAGCCATCAAGGGTCTTGTAGCTGTTGAAGATAAGCTCTTGGGAGAGCTTGATGAGCATGTTGCCAGGGAACACAATCCAGAGAGGCTCAGTCTGTATCACAGCATATCTCAGAGTGTGGCCTTGGATTCACAGCATCACCATTAGAAGAGTCTGTGACAATATAATCCTCACCACCTTTGCCTCCAAGAGCATATTGGCCAAACCCAATTGCACAATCTGCTAAGCTCTGCCTGTTGTTAATTTGGGTCGCATTCCCAGCAGTCATCTATTGGGTTTCCTGTTAGGCATGAAGAGTCCTGATATTTTTGGGTTCCTTGCAGCATTTCCCTTCTTGCCAAAGAAGCATAAACCTTCCTGAAAAATAAAGGGAAAAAAGAAGTAAAGATTGATAACTCAGATCTACAAAAGGCTGAGAAAGAGAAGATAACAGAGGAGGTAATTAAAGCTATGTATTTTCCTATGAACTTCTTGAACAATTTCTTCTGGGTTGGGATGTTGGCCAGGAAGAGTGAGGTTGAGGAATGCTGTGGCAAGAGAAGAAAATGAGCAGAAAAGAAAGAGCAGGACAATGCAGGTAATACAACAAATTTTACAGCTTGCTATACAATTGCAATACTATATCAAGAGAATGTGGTTCCACCCTTTTATAATCAAGGGCTGTATATGCTGTAGGAAGCTAGTCTGTCTGAGCATTTTCTTTCCCCTACCAAAACAAAAATTATCAAATTCAAATCCCCAGTCCCAGAAACCAGTATAAGAACGAATTTGAATTAAAACCCTGTAGTAAAAGAACGAACGTATCTTTAAACAGAGCTACCCAAATAGCAGCATATCTTGCTTACCAAAACAGAGCTATCCTAAACCCTGTAACAAAAGAACCAGCATATCCAAATACCGATTTTCAAGGTTTACCAACTAATTTTTAATAACCAAACAGAAAACCTTACCAAAAGCAATCATATAGTATTTTAATAACTAAATTGTTTAACCTGATTTCATCAAAATAATAACACAATCAAATCAATTTCAGTATTTGGATAAAATTTGCAAATCAATAACACAGACCCACTATGAGGAAAAATTAGGGATTCGGACTTTTAGGGCAGCAAATTAAAACAGGTCTTATAGTTTAATCAAATAAGATCCAAGATATTAGTAACAACAAAAATAAAAAGAAGAGCAACAAAAATCGAATGAAAAGATGAAGCAAAATTTACTTACAGATCAGTGAGAGAAAGAGACTGAAACAGAGAGAAAGCTGGAGTTCGATCTGAAGAAGAATACCAACGCACGCCACTCCTATGAAGTCGAAGCCTCCAGATAATCTCCAACAGTAGACCGGCCATTGCCCCGCAACTAGGCCAACCAACCTGGTTAGAAGCGAACTCAGCATCTGATAGAACGAAGGCTCCAAGTCATTTCACTGGAAAAGAAGAGAGAGAAAGGCTGAAACAAAGAGGAATTTGTTGAATCTGAAAAGCAAAAGGAAAAGCAGATGGCTCCGTAAAAAAGTAGAAGCCTCCAGATGGACATCGAAGAACCTAAACAAAGAACGATGGAATGAAAGAGGAGGAAACGATGAGAACGATGAAGAAATTTCAGAGTGAACGAAACGTTCGCAGCGGAGGAGAGAAAGGAAGATAATAATGCATTTGGACAAGGAAATTTAAAAGTATAAAGGATTTCATAAATGACGGAATTTAAAATGACGGAAATTAATGTTCTAGGATTTGTAAAGTTTCTTGTTTGGATGACTGATTTAAAACACGAAATTTAACCTTTAATTGTAAAGTTATCTTTTTTTAAAACTCAATCTCTCTTGGAACTTTAGAAATGACGACTTTTAGATAGAATTTAAACTTGGGATTTATGATCTCTAAGTTCCATGTTTTTTTCCAAGCGGAATTTCTAAATTTCTATGTTTTTTTTTATCCAAACACCGGAATCGGTTCATGTCAATTTAGAAATTCTAAGTTTTATCAAAATCCTAAGTGTATTTCCCTCATCCAAACGCACCAGCGACTCCAACGAAGAGAAGAGAACAGGGCTGGAGGGCAAAGCGGCTAATTCACTGCTCATAAGTAACTCAAGAAAGCAGAGACCATCACTTAAGGGGAGGCAAAACCGTCACTTCACTATTCCTAAGCTACAACTTAGGAACAGTGAATTGTGAACTCAGTTTTAGTATATATATAATTTTCTTATGCAGTGGAAGGTCGAGGACAACTTGAATACAGCAATGCCAGATTTGGGGACTAAGATTGGATAGCTCAAGATTGAATGTTTGTTGAATGAACAAATGGAGGCAAAAATTCCAAATTTTGTCCAGATTGTAGAATATGGATTAGTTTTAAAGGAAATTACTTATCCCTTCCGATGGATATCAACACCTTATAACTTATCCATTCTAATTCCCACAAAAGAAAAAATCATTCTAACTCTACGTACATACCTTCATTTCTTACTTCAACATACCTTGAATCTTGTGGGCTATATCCAATACAATCCAATCCTAAGAACCAAACGTAAATGATTATTAATCTGAAATGAAGAGTTATATGATTGTATTAGCATTATTTGAAGGCACGAGGAAAAAGGTTTTGTGAATCGTGATTGTTTTCTCGGAGAATGAAACATATACTAGAAGGATACAATATGAGTAGGGAAAGAAGCTATGAGGATATAAGGATAAAACCAGGAAGGAGGTTGCATGAGATGGTGAAAAACATAAAATTCACGTACATTGGGAACTATAGTAACAGACACAAATATCCAAAACCAACGTTGGATTCATGGAGACATCCAATAAGTGGAAGATAAGTTCATGTTCTAGATTTGTGAAAATGTGAAGAAATATACCACATTGGAAAGTTGAGAAACTAGCAAGTGCTTATAGGGAGTTAGCTACTCCCCTCATTATTGCCAATTGGTTTTCGGGCGGAACGTCAACTTCCTTCATGGTATTAGAGCAACTCAAAGTCTAACAGCTCAAGTTGCACTATTTCCTCTTGACTAAGATCAATGTTGACTTTGTATAGAGTTCTTCCAAGTGATGTTTTTTTTATTGTTTTTAGAAAACGATTTGTTTTAATGTGGAAACAGTACTTTCTGGGGAACCTGGATTGGCTCTCTTGTCTTTAATATACATTTTTGTTTGAATTTTTTAAACAAAATCCGTTCTGGAAAGATTTCTTGCCACAAGCAGCTTCAACAGTCCTGAGATTAGAGGGTGCAGCAGAGGGCAATACTGCTGCTTTGGTAACAGAACTCACCACTTCTATTATTTCCCTTGTACTTTTTTATCTTGTTAACAATTAGTGTAAAAAGTGCTTGTTTTAATTGAAGGAGAAGTTTGAGGTGAGTAAACAAAAAATAAAGAAGATGTTCAACAATGTTGATCTCTCTGTTTCCTCATATGATACCTCTTGGGTGGCCATGGTCCCTTCTCCGAATTCCCTGAAGGATCCTTTTTTACCTGAATGCCTAAATTGGTTATTGGGTAACCAACACCATGATGGTTCATGGGGTAATTTCCGTCCCTTGTTAAAAAAGGATGCTCTCTTATCTACTTTAGCATGTATCCTTGCACTAAACCGATGGAGCGTTGGTCAAGAACAAATTAACAAGGGTATGCCTTTTGCTAAGGTTCCTCCAAATTAATGCATGCATTATAAAGGATTACCCTCTCTGAGTCTTTCTTGCTTTTCTAGGGCTACATTTCTTTGAGTCAAATTTAGCTTCAGCTGCAGATGAAGAGCAACAATCGCCTGTTGGATTTGATATATTTCCTTCTATGATTGAATCTGCAATGAATTTGGATATGAATCTTCCCCTGCGAGGATCAACCCTAGACGCTATATTTCACAGGAGAGACTTGAGCTTCAAAGGTACATTTCCTTGCTTTTCCCTCGGTTTATTTTTGGTCCAATTTCTCGGTAAAGTTCATTTAGTATTATTATTTCTTTCCATGACTTGGCTAATCATGCTACCTAGCTCAAATCTGTAGCTAATGGTTTGGCTATGTTTATTAGAATCTCCGAAAAAGTAGTTTTATCAGGGGTGATATACATGATAGTGACACTTGTATCAGTTCATATGCTATTTAAAGTCATGGAAATGCCATGAATTAAATTTATTTATTGCATCCTTAACTATCATAAGTGCAAGCATCTATTCCAAAATTTTATTATTCAGAGGTTATGGAAGCAACTCAGAGGGATGGAGAGCCTTCCTAGCATATACTTCAGAAGGAAATGGAAAGTTTCAGGATTGGGAGACGGCCATGAAGTATCAACAGAAGAACGGATCCTTGTTTAATTCCCCATCAACCACAGCTGCTGCTTTTACTCAACTTAAGAATCCCAGTTGTCTTACGTATTTATGCACACTCTTAGAAAAGTTTGGGAATGCAGGTTTCTCCCTCCATGCATATCATTAGTTTGCTAGCAATGGTTACTAGATTAGGATTGATACAGTTTAACTCATTATTTCCAATTTACTCTTTTCAGTCCCAACAATTTATCCTCTAGATAACTATGCTCGCCTTACTATGATATCCAGTCTTGAAAGTTTGGGTATTGATCGACATTTCAGGGCGGAAATTACAGGTGTACTGGATGAAACATACAGGTAATTAATGTTCCCTAGATTAAGTTTACGTATACACCAGTAATGGGGTTTTTGGGGTGTAACTTTGAAGAAGAATATTGGATTGATGTTCTGTTAAGGGGTAATATTCTTAAGTGAAGCATTAAGTTTAGATATTTTATTGGTTCTCATCCATGGGGTAGCATGACATTAGTCAACAAACTGCAGATTCTGGCTGCAGGGAGATGAAGATATATTTTCAGATGCTGCCACTTGTGCAATGGCATTTCGACTCTTACGTGTTAATGGATATGATGTTTCTGCAGGTATTTTTTCCATCTAGGTTCCTAGCTTGGTCCTTATCACTTCTTTTTGACAGAAACTATGTAATTGATTTATATATGCTGTCTTGTACGTAGATCCATTAACTCAATTTTCAGAAGATTGCTTCTTCAATTCCCTTGGAGGATACTTGAGGGATGTTGGCGCTGCGTTAGAATCGTTTAGAGCTTCAGAAATCACCCTACATCCTCATGAATCAGTTCTGGAGAAAATAAATTACTGGATGCGTCGCTTCCTGAAACAAGAATTATCCTCTAATTTAATTCAAGCGCATAGACTCAATAAGCATATTGGCCAAGAGGTAGCTTCCTATATATAGCTAGTGTTTTAGATTTGGTGATGTAGCTTTATCCTAAAACTGAAACTTTTTTATTATTTTCAGGTGGATCATGCTGTTAAGTGTCCTTACCATGCAAACTTGGGTCGGTCGTCAATCAGGAAAGTTATAAAGCATTACAACGCAGATAGTACAAGGATTCTAAAATCTTCTTACAGGTAAACAGACTTCTACTAGTTTCCTACTCTAATTAGTTCCCCTTCTTCATTCTCCCTCTCTTTTAAGAGAGGAAATTGAGTTGTGTTGAATTATTACGAGTGGTCAGTATAAATATTACTGATATATCCTTGTACTCATCTTAAGTTCTTTGAACATTGGGAATGAAGATTTCCTAAAACTAGCAGTGGAAGACTACAATTTTTGCCAATCTATACATCATGGAGAATTCAACCATTTTGCAAGGTGCTTGTCCTCTCTCTCTCTCTCTCTCTCTCTCTCTCTCAAGCTTCTTTGTTTCATTGTGTAAGGCTTGTGATGCAGAATATATTTTTTTTCCTTGTCCAAATTGCAATATTCCCTCCATTTAAGCAGGTGGATTGTGGAGAACAGATTAGACAAGCTAAAGTTTTCTAGGCAGAAGTAGCCATACTGTTAATTCTCTGCTGCTACAAGCCTCTTCCCTCCCGAACTATCAGACGCCCGCATGTCATGGGCCAAAAGTGCATTTCTCACAACTGTGGTTGATGACTTCTTTGACATCGGAGGTTTGGCAGAGGAACTGGTAAACCTTATACAATTGGTCGAGAAGTATGTAATTTTCTTTTTCTTTTTCATTTCTTGTCTGTTTCCATTAGATCTGTTTTTGGTCCATCATTTCTACTTGTCCTTCTACATTAGTCTTTCTGGCTAGTCTCAGTGTTCCTTTTATTCAACCGCAGGTGGGATGTGAATGCAAGTGTTGATTGTTGTTCTGAGCACGTTCAAATTATATTCTCAGCAGTTAGGAGCATAATTAGTGAGATTGGAGTCGAAGCTTTCAAATGGCAAGGACGCAGTGTGACAAATCATGTAATTGAGATTGTAAGATGGAATCTTTTACTTCGTTCATGTTGTCATTTTTTTCCCTTTCAGTAATAATTATTATTTTTTCCTGATAGTCCTGAGCATCAACAGTAATTGATGATTTTGATATTTTGAATAATCGATGTTTAATTTTAGTGGTTGGAGTGTGTTGATGCTCTTTTTGGGAGGTCAACTTAGATAGAGGTGGAATGGTGGATGATGGGTGAAGGTGAGGACCTTCAGCATATGTGTGAAGATTTGGGCAAGCAATAAATATAAAGAAGACGAGATATAAGTGGTTCACCCTTAATGAATGGGCTACGTCCACGGAGAAGTATGTTCTCATTATGATAATGTATGTTACATTTGTATACGGGGTTGGAACCAAATATTAAAGATAAAGCCCAGCCTAGGATCCAGAAGAGAGAGTCCCTTTCTCAGGGGAGAGTAGTCTTGCTTTATAGGAGAGGGGGAGTCTCTATTTCTTGTAGTTTTCCGATGTGGGACTCCTCTTACTTTGCATAGAGTTGTGAGTTGTGGTAATGCTTCTTTAGCTAAGGTGATGACCTCTCAAAGCATGGCAAGGCTTGGGAAGAACAAGAATTTCAAGGGTTGAGCCTCTGGGACTTCGGCAAAGAGGGAGGCATGGCGCAACCCTGTGGGCTTCCAAGCCTGTGTACGAATCTGGGCCACAGGAACTGGTATTGGGGTTGAGCCCTGGTTGGGCTTCGGCAAGGCATGTGAGTGGGGTCTTTTGGATTTGGCTGGGCCTAGGCCATAGGGTACTTTTTGGAGCTAGGGTTTTGTGGAGGAGAAAAATTTAGCTCCTCATAGTTACATAGCTTACCGTTCGGAAGGAGTATCAGGAAGTGTTTGGTGTGCTTCTTGTAGAACTTGCCGATCGTCAGGAATTGCGAAGAAGGGAATTCCAGCGCTGGGCTGTGGGCATCGTCATCGTGATAAAATCAGTCGCGATCCTTCTGCATATGGACTGCCGTTTGCCAAGGGAGTTTTGAAAGAATTCCGGAGTCCTCCCCGATCGTTTTTGCTCAACCCTTGCCGTTCGGCAAGGGTAGATCGAAAATTTTTTGGGGGCCTCTCATGCTCGGCGGTGGGTGAGTCCCTCCAAGTTTAGCCGGTTCGTTGGCAAGGTCAGTTCGGCAAGGGTGCGCATCTTGATTGTGGTTGGGGGTTTCGGCAAGGAGGCTGGGCTCTGGGAAGGTTGGTCGTGGTGAAGGTCAGGTCGGAGCACCTACTTAGTCGGTAATTTGAAAGTATTTTTCTCCGCCGTTCGATATTTTCGTGAGGCAACATTGGTGTGGCAGATTTGTTCCTTCAGCCTGGTGCCGATCGGCAAGCTTATTTGGAAAGAGGTAGGTATTTTTGTGAGCTCATACTTGATTCTGGTCAACCTTTGCCATTCGGCAACCGTGTATTGAGAAATTTTTTGAAGCCTTCTATGTTCGGCAAGATTTTTGAAGGAAAGAAGTTTCGAAGTCCTCCCCATCCTTGGCTTAGTTGTCGATCGGTACTCTTTAAAGATTACCTCCGTGAGTTCTCGTATGCCCTCTCGACATCGTGGTGGGAAGGAGACCCCTAGGTGTCGCACAAGCCTATCGTTCGGCAGCCGGGCCTTCGGCAAGGGGTCAGGAGGCAATTCAATGTGGGCCTTTCTTCGGCAAGAGGGCATGTGAGATCTTGGCATATTTCCAGAGCTGATCGGCAAGTGGGCTCTTTGAAAGAAAGCTTGGGGACCTTCGGCAGATATTAAGGGAAGGCTTCAGCAAGTATAATTTTTGCGGCCCTCCACCTTCTGCATAGTCCTTGCCTTTTGGCACTCCAAGCTTGAGGTGCAAAAAGGGTCCATATTTCTTGGCCAAGTCTCTTAGTCCATAATGTGGTAGAGAGCCGATGAGTTGGTGTAGGTTTTTGATAAAGGGTAGCTTCCATGGCCCTGGGGTTAGATTTGAAGCAGAGTAATTGGTTTTGCCTCTGATCTTCCCTATTTTCAATACCATGATCACAAGAAAGCAAAGGCAAACAGGGCTTGGAAGGAAGGGCATTGAATCTCCATCAGCAAAATGAAGGTTGTTTATACTAAAATGAATAGCCAATAAGCGTCGGACACGTGGACCAAACTGGAGCTTTATAGCCTTCGGTACCTAGCTTTGGTACCCAGTCTACCGATCCCGTAATTAGGGCAATTTTCCCCCAGGGACACGTGGCAGTCCCACAATTGGTGTCCACAGTCCCACATCGAAATTCTCAACAACTTACACACCTCCCAAGGTCTATAAAAGAGAACAACTATCCCAAAATGGAGGTAATCAGAACTTACGGTATACTGGCTATTGATCTGTAGTTCAACCTTACTAAATTCGTACTTATTTAAGCATCGGAGAGCCTTCGGCCGGTACCACACCGGTGCCCTAGGTCTTACCGAGCGTTTGCTATCTTGCAGATCGCACGCCCTACCGAGGCCTAGAGCATACCGAAGGCCCAATATCACTAAGTTGCGCGGGAAAGTACCGAACCATTTTCTGCGTCAACAGTTTGGCGCCGTCTGTGGGAATCGACAGAAAATCGACCCATATTACTCCAGAATACATGAGGACCACTTCAGTACCAACGCTCTTATCGGAGGAGGGATCACCGTTCGGCAGGCCAAGCGGTGCTAGCCCTGCGCTGTCCCCGTGCACTCCCTTTGGTAATACACCAGTAATTCAACCTACCGCCGAGGCGGAGCTTCTGGCTCACATTACTTCACTTCGAAAGGATATGGCAAAGCTCCAAGAACATAACAACCTCCTCTCGTCCAAAGTAGATGAAAACCAGCGGCTGCTCAATCAGCAGGAAACGCAGAATATCCAAGCTACGGAATCTTCCCAGAGTCTGCAGACTCCCAGTCGGTAGAAGAAGGGGAAGAAGGGGGCAAAGGCAACGCCTGCACCTTCCAAACAGTTAGTAGTCCTGGCTTCACGGGACCAGCCTCACATACCGAAGAAGGTTTACACCGACTGTCACCATCGAATCAACGACAAGGAGGCCGAACGGCAGAGGTCCCCGATCAGGATTAATGCCCGCCTGCGGGACTCACGGATGAGGGTCCTTGGAAACAAATCACCCCTTAGAAAGGTCCAAGGGTTGGAATCAGAGGTAGAATCCGACGATGAATATGTCCCCTCCAAGGGCACCGAATCGAACTACCGTTCGGAAACTCCCACGGAGTATTCGAAGGCAAGACCACCGAGTCCGCGGAGAACTTCCGAAGACTACGGTTCTGAGGAGGTCCCAAGCTGAGACCCCGCTATCCGTCTACTCTTCCAAAGGATTTAGAAGATGGAGAACGATAGAACCCTCTCCCAAGAGCCGATTGGGGCAAGCTTCAGCCAGGACAGTTCACCGAACGCATAAAACGTTCGCGGTAGGATAAGGAGATACAGCCACTTTGGATACTGTTCTACACTGATATCAAAGACCCCTTAACGCACCTTCACTCATTCCAATCGGCAGTCATATGCAAGGGTCTAAGAGACAAAGGGCAGTGTCTTTTGTTCCCGTCCTCCCTTACCGAAGCTGCATTGAACTAGTTTTACCGTTTGGAGCCGGGGACGGTAGACTCCTTCGACGAATTAAAGCATATTTTCCTTAATCATTTTATGATCCAGACAGACCGTCTGTACTCTGCCGATGATCTGTACACGATTCGGCAGAGAAAAGATGAACCCCTACGGGAGTTCGCAGCACGTTTCAGTCACGAGTACTCCAGGTGTCCGGAAACGGATGGTAGGGCAGCCTACATTGCCTTTAAGAGTGGCCTTCAGTCCTCTCACTTTCAGTACCTCGTGCATAGTAGCAACTGGCGCACATATGATGAGTTAATGAAGCAAGCGGCGATCCACGCCAAGGCAGAATATTTCAACTCCAAACCAGAAAGACTGACGAGCCTTCAGCAGGGCACAAGCGGAAGGATGACCGAGATAATCAGCAGGGAAGTTCAAAGAAGGAATGAGGAAAATACGGTCACAATGACCACCGAGCACCATTGCCGAATCACGATCGCATGCAGGAAGTCTTTACTTTGTTGAACATGACCTATGAGGCAGTCTTGATGAATGAAAACGAGATAATACCCAAGCCAAATAACCGAAAGCCCAATCGGCAGGACAATCGGGATACGGGCAAATTCTGCCGATACCACCAGCATAACAACCACAACACCGAAGACTGCATAAGCCTGAGGAAGATCGTTGAGTGATTGATTCGGGAGGGAAAGCTGGATCAATATATTGCTAGACCACAGCATGCACCCATCTCGAACGCGAACCGACAAATCAACATGATCAGCACCATCAGCGGGGGACCCACTTTGGCGGGATCATCAAATCGATCAATAAAGCATTACGTTCGTGCTGCTCACTATCCACAAGTCTTCGGCATAGAGGCCAACCGGCACAACAAGGTGTCGAAGGTAGGATGGGAGCCCATCACTTTCTGTGAGGAAGAAGAGGAAGGGGTCATTTATCCCCATGATGACCCGATGATCATCCGAGCTGAAATCGTTGACTACAATGTCAGATGGGTGCTGATCGACAACGGAAGCTCGGTAAATGTAATATTTGCCGATGCTTTCAAGGAAATGGGAGTAGCAGATAGCCAGGTCAATCGGTAGATAACACCATTGTTGAGCTTCTCGGGGGACCTAGTCCAGCCAGTCGGCAGTGTCAGCCTGGCCATTGCCTTCGGCGTTGCCCCATGGAAGACAATGATCTACGACCAGTTCCTCATTGTTGACTGCCCAACGGCATACAACGTTATCATCGGACGAACGGCGCTCACCGGAATCAAGGCTCACCCGTCCCCCCACATGTTGCTGATGAAGTTCTCTACCTACAACGGTACTGGCGTTATCAGAGGAGACCAGCTCAGTGCACGAACGTGCTATGCGACTGCTCTGAAATCGGTAGCTTGCAAACCTCCAATGGAAGCCATGTCTGTGGAGGGGCTACCGAACGGTAGCGGGCCACACCGGTAGCTCAACCTGCCAAGGAATTAGAAACAATAATACTGAATGAAGAATATCCCAATAATACTGTGTAAGGATCAGCACCACCCTCAACCCCCACCTGTGGACGCAGTTCATTGCCTTTTGCGACACCATGCCGAGGTCTTCGCCTAGTCTTAAGACGATATGCCCGACATATCCCCAGACGTCATCTGCCACAAGCTCAGCATCTCCCCTTCCTATAAGCCTATCAGACAGAAGTGACGCTCTTATGATGTCGAACGGTACGAGGCCATGCGTACCGAAGTTGACAAGCTTAAAGCCATCGGCTTTATCATGGAAGCCACGTACCCTGTCTAGTTTGCGAACTCAGTCATGGTTCGGAAGGGCAATGGCGGATGACGAATGTGTCAAGACTATACCGACCTAAACAAGGCTTGTCCAAAAGACAACTTTCCTTTGCCTAGGATAGACCAGCTTGTTGATGCAACTACCGGTCACGAGTTGCTCAGTTTCATGGACGCCTATTTGGGATACAACCATATCTTCATGCACCCTACCGATAGCGAACATACGGCATTCATCACGGACCGGGGACTGTACTGCTACAACGTCATGCCGTTCGGCTTGAAAAACGCAGGGGCAACATACCAAAGGCTTGTCAACCGAATTTTCGCCAAACACATCGGCAACATCATGGAGGTGTATGTTGACGATATGCTAGTCAAGAGTCGAACGGCAGGGGAGCATTTAGAAAACCTGGCCCTCATGTTCGGTATACTAAGGGACTACTGAATGAGACTAAACCTAACGAAGTGCGCCTTCGGTGTGTCTTCGAGTAAGTTTCTCGGTTTTATGATCAGTCAGAGAGGAATCGAAGCCAATCCCGAGAAAATCAGAGTCATAATCGACATGGAGAAGCCGAAGACGCAGAAGGACATTCAAAGTCTTACCAGACGTGTCGCTGCCTTAACGCGCTTCATCTCCAAGGCCACCGATAAATCTGTACCATTCTTTAAAGCCTTGAAAGGGGGCAAACAGAATATCACATGGACTGCTGAATGCGACAAGGCATTTCAAGACCTAAAGAACTATATGAGCAGAGCACCATTGTTGTCGAAGCCGCTCCCAGGAGAGGTTCTGTTTCTCTATGTCTCGGTATCTAGTACTGCCGTCAGTTCAGTATTGGTACGCATACCAGAAAAGACAGAGCTACCGATATTTTATGTCAGCAAAGCGCTGCAGAGCGCAGAGCTTCGGTATCCCCCCTTGGAGCAGCTAGCAGTATCCCTCGTTATCTCAGCCCGAAGGCTCCGCCCATACTTCCAAGCGCACGAGATCACGGTTGTAATTAATCAACCGCTTCCGCAGGTATTACAAAAGCCAGAAACATCCGGCAGGCTAATTAAATGGGCGATCGAGCTCAAGGAGTTTGACATAAAGTTCAAACCAAGGCCTGCCGAGAAGGGGCAGGCTGTGGCCGACTTAATTTTCGAGCTCACACCTCCAGCACCATCGGCACCAATAGTTCCGAACGTTGAAACCGTGGAGCCAGAAAAGTTGAATGCCGAACGCTTTGATCCTTCCATTCCTGTATGGATCCTGCACGTCGACGGCTCGGCAAATCAACAAGGGTGTGGGGCCGGTCTAGTGTTGACTACTCCTGACGGATCAAAGGTCGAATATGCCCTCCGATTCAACTTCAGAACCTCCAACAACACTGGTGCCCTAGGCCTTCGGCCGGTACCACACTGGTGCCCTAGGTCTTACCGAGCGTTCGCTATCTTGCAGATCGCACGCCCTACTGAGGCCTAGAGCATACCGAAGGCCCAATATCACTAAGTTGCGCGGGGAAAATGCTGAACCATTTTTGTGTCAACAAAGGTTACTTTGGATTATAGTGGCTTTTGGTGAAACTGCATGCGTTTTACATCTATGTATAAGAAATGATGTAGCAATCTTCGTTCCTTTTCTTTCTCTGATGCAAAGATTTTTCCAACTGGTTGATGTCTCTTTCCTGTAATTAAGAATGTTTAAGAGCTTATCTGGAAGGGGCGGCACTGAGGGTGCACAAGTGGTGCCACCGCACAGGCCTCCAACTTTTTAGGGCCCCAATTTTTCATAATGTATATGTTAGGTTTATTAATCTGTCAAATAATGTATATATAAAACCCTCATAGGACATTTACGCAGGGACGGGTTTTTGGCAACCTTGTTTTGCAGCACTATAACTTCTACTTATGGCGCGGGTTCAAGGCCCAATGTGTGTACATCATATTTAGAGTTTTACTTTTTTTTTTTTTTTTTTTTTTTTTTTTTTTTTTTTTTTCTTTTTTTGTAACAGCAACAATAAAAGAAATAAAAATTCATGTCTCCTCCTTCTTACACTCTTATTTTCTACTAAGCAATAATCATTACCAATCTATCGCTTTCGCTCTTTTTTTCAATCTTTTAATTTTATTTTTTCCAATATCAACAGTTTTAATATAAAAAATCGAAAACATTAATTCCTAAATTTATAAGGGGCTAAGGGAAAAAAAAATTCATAAAGGGCACTCAAAATCAAATAGTCAAATTGAAATCTCAATTTAAATTCAGGTATATATCTAAATTTCAATTTACATGACTTGTCTCATCATGCTGATTGTAAGTCTTTATATATCTAAAATATATTATATACAAGTTTTTATATAGTTAATGAGCACTAAAAGGAAAACCTAGTCTTTATACTGAACGTACTAGTATTTAAGTTTCCCAAATTGAAATGTCAAAAATTTTATAAATTTGATTTGTGATTTGCATTCTAATTGATGATGATTTTTTACTTAAAAAATAAAATTGTTGTATGCCGCGATATAAGTTTGTGTTAGATTATGTGAGAGTCTCAATTTAAGTTTTGCACAGGGCCCCCAAAATCTCAAGTCCAGCCCTTTGGTTTGGTTGGATAGGGCCCCACTTCATGCTAAAATATGAATATGGTTTGAATACTTTGGGTTAGGTTTTATTCTTCTCCATAAAGAGGTATATATAGGAGTTTACATGAGTGCTTTACAAGGAAATAGATACAGTAATCAATTAGGATAGTATCTCCTAATTATACACCGATTTGCCAACTATATAGAATAGGAAAGTAAATCCCTTAATTAATCAAGGAACTAAATATTCTTGATTAATTAGGAGACTCACGTCAACACTCATCCTATTGTGGGTGCACGGTGCACAACATTCTAGCATATAAGTTTTTGGGTGATCAAAGTGAGTATTGTTTCATGGAGTTGGACAAGAGAATTTGTTACTTAAAATGTTTGATTGAGCACGTTTTGTGCTTAAAACCTCTAGCGTGCAATTTTTTCATAGTTGTCTCCAGTATTCACCATATGGTGCAAAGCCAATGTTTGTAGAGCCGTAGGACAAGATCTTTGCAGCAAGAATAGGAGGCCTTGATGCAAAGCTAAGATCATGGGTTTTCATCACCTCTTTGGCAAACTCTGCTAATGGAACTACAACAGTGGAAACTGTTGGCGTGACTTGTGGATGTTGACTTACTTTCCTTACACACCAAGAATTCCTATTATAATTGTAATTGATTTACTTTAATTCATGATTTCCTACTTTAAATAGATTTAGGAATTTATTATTTACTTGCCCATTCAGGTTTCGTTGTATTATAAATATGACCTCCTACAAGGAGAAGAATACACAGAAAATTCTCACAAACAAATATTCTCTCATAGTTTTCATATTTTAGCATGGTATCAGAGCAGCGATCTTGGGATTGCTGGCTCTAGTTTCTAAACCCTAGCCACCACCATGGGGGAGGATGACTCTTCTAATCCTCATGGCAGTAGCACCACTGCTTCCTCCTCTCCTTCTCAACTAACCATAGCCGAGTTGGGTGCCCAGGTGGCTCAACTAATGCAGATGCAGACTCATACTTCAAACTCGATCCTAAATCAGGATCCTACCAAGATGACCCTGACCCCGACTCAGACGACGACCCTGAACTCGAATCACACGTCGACCTTGAACCCGAATCAAACGACGATTCCGACGACAATTACCTATGAAGCTTCTGCTGCACAGATTGGCATAAAGTTGGATGGCACCAACTATGCCCTATGGTCCCAAGTTATCGAGTTGTATATCTCCAACAAAGACAAATTGGGATATATTAATGGCAATCTTCCACAACTTTTCCTCGTAGGCGCACTGAGAACTCTATTGTGAAGGGATGGCTCATCAATTCTCTGGAGCAGAGCTTAATTGGCAATTTCATTCATTTTCCGATGACAAAAGCAGTGTGGGATGCAATTGCCACAACAACGGCTCCATTTAAACCTATTACAATACTCTTCAAAGCTTATGGAGAGAGATTGATTTCCGTCGTCCAAATATGATGGAGTATGAAAGTGATATCAAGCGCTATAATGATATTCTACAGGAAGATCGAGTTTACATATTTTTGGATGACCTTGATGATCGTCTTGATAAGGCTCGAAGTGATGTTCTTCACATGACTCCATTCCCTACTGTGGACCATGCTTATGCCTATGTTCGCCGTGAAGATGTTCGACAAGCTGTGATGATGGGTTCATCTGCACCCACTGGCACTGGCTTAACGGCCAAGAGTGTGCCTCGATCAGGTCCCCCCACTCATGCCAGACAACCCCATAATTCCTCTATTGCGGCCCACCTTTAGATCCAGTCATATGTTACTGCTGCTGGTACGCCACCTCTTAAAACCATCCCACCTTCCCGTCCCAAGGCTCCAATTGATGGAAGTGGTTGCACGCACTGTGGCAACCCCAAACATACCCGCGACACCTGTTTTAAGTTGAATGGTTATTCTGATTGGTGGGAGGACCTCCGTGCTCGCAAGCTCAGAGAAACTGCTTGTAATTCCGGCCGTGCTACTCTTGTCTCTACCGAACCCCAATTATCCTTGTTCCTGCAGGTAGACCCTACTGATAGTCCCGCGCTTCCTGATGTCTCAAGTAACTGCGGTTATGCATTTCATACTTCTGATCTACGAGATACTACTGGTTGGATAATTGATTCTAGCGCCACTGATCATATGACCTTTGATCCGAATGATTTTTTGCACACCATTACACCCCGCCACACAAGTATTGCCAATGCGAATGGAGTTACCCATCCTATGACAGGGGCTGGTACTGTCGCCCTTTCACCTTTTCTGTCCCTTTCTAATACTCTACTCGTTCCATCTTTGTCCAATAAATTAATGTCTGTGAGCCAAGCAACTGAACAACTAAATTGTTGTGCACTAATTTATCCCAATTTTTGTTTACTACAGGATATTCTCACCAAGGAGATCATTGGGCGTGGTATTAAAAGAGGGGGGCTGTACTATGTGGATGACTTCAGTATAGGACGCGCCAACAATGTGAAGTATCCGTCTGATGACAAGCACCAACAGATTTGGCTCTGGCACCGACGTTTGGGGCATCCATCTTTTGGTTATATGAGACACTTATTGCCCGAGTTGTTTTCTGTATTTAAGGACTCAGATTTTAGATGTGACACTTGCATTTTAGCCAAGAGTCACAGAGCATCCTATCCTTTAAGTATGAATAAAAGTATTATTCCTTTTGCTTTAATTCATTCTGATGTTTGGAGACCCTCACCTATTTCTACTCACTCCGGAATTCATTGGTTTGTCACATTCGTAGATAATTGTACACGGATGACATGGCTTTATTTGATGAAAAATAAGAATGAAGTGTTTTCCCGGTACCAATCCTTTCACAAACAGAAGGAAACATAGTTCAATGCTCGAATACAGATTCTTCGCTTTGACAATGATGGAGAATTTGTTAATCATGATTTTCAGACTTACTTCCAGACATATGGCATTATTCATTAGACAACTTGCCCCCAGACACCACAACAAAATGGTGTTGCCGAACGGAAGAATCGTCATCTCCTTGAAATAGCCCGTGCTCTTCTCATTAGTGGCCATGTTCCTTGTCATCACTGGGATGATGCTGTCGTCACTGTTGTCCACCTTATCAACCGCATGCCTTCTGGGGTTTTGAACTTCAAAACACCATTACAAGTGCTCGCGCAAAACGGGCCTCTGCCCTCTGTTTTGGTGCTTACACCTCGCATTTTTGGCTGTGTGGCCTTCATTCATCTCCACAAAAATCAACGAAGCAAACTTGATCCATGTGCACTTCGTTGTGTTTTTTTGGGTTATGCGACTCATCAAAAAGGTTATCGATGTTATCACCCTCCTACCCGGGGAACCTATGTCACTTTGGATGTCACCTTTCTGGAATCGGAGATGTTCTTCTATGACCCAGCATCCAATTCTACTCTTCAGGGGGAGATACGGAGTGAAGAGTGAAATTGGAGTAGCTAGGAAAATGAAGATATTCATCTATGCACGAAGATTGCTCTCGGCCAAGAAACAATAACAATTGATCGTCCCGAGTCTGGCACATGCGAATGCTTTCTGCCAAACAATGATCGATTGCCTAACCCTTGCGAAGCTGTTTTTGATTCGAGTCATACTCCTACAGACAACTCAGAACAACAAGATAAAGACCCCCCCTCTCACTCAACAATACCAACAGACCAATCTCCTGAGAATATATTTGAGGTAACTACTCCTACTAGACTTGTGCATTTAGAAGATAAAACTATTGGATATCAATTACCTTTCAGACAAAATCGTGGGAAGCCACCAAACCGTTATTCACCTGATATTGGCAAGACATCCAAGTATCCAATTGCAAATCATGTATCCAATGAGAAGTTGTTTGAACCACTCAAGGCTTTTGTGCATCAGTTGTCTGCCATCCATATTCCAACCAAGGTCTCTGAAGCATTGAAAGATCCTAAGTCGGTCCAAGCTATAAAAGAGGAGATGAAAGCTCTAGAGAAAAATCAGACTTGGACATTGGAGACTATACCACGAGGAAAAAAGACTATCGCATGTAGATGAGTGTTTACTATAAAACACAATGCATATGGATCTATCGAGCGATACAAGGCAAGACTTGTGACAAAAAGGTACACACAGACCTATGATATAGACTATGAAGAAACCTTTGCACCAGTTGTAAAGTTAAACACCGTCAGAGTCTTATTGTCCCTTGCAGCTAATTTGGATTGGCCACTACACCAGTTTGATGTAAAGAATGCTTTTCTACATGGCGAACTCACAGAGGAAGTGTACATGAACATTCCTCCTAGATATATACTACTCAAACTGGAATAGTTTGCAAGTTACGAAAAGCGTTGTATGGATTGAAACAGTCACCACGTGTAAGGTTTGGACGGTTCACTATGACAATGAAGAACAATGGTTTCAAACAGTGCAACTCAGATCATACTCTGTTCTTGAAACATCGGAAAGGGAAGGTAACAACATTAATAATCTATGTTAATGATATGATTATTACTGGGAATGATAAACAGTAAATATCATAGCTACAAGACTATTTGGCTACTGAGTTTGAGATGAAGGATCTAGGTGGACTCAAGTATTTCTTGGGAATTGAGGTGGCTCGATCGCAGCAAGGCATATTTCTCTCTCAAATGAAATATGTCTTGAACTTGTTGACAAACACAGGAATGCTAGATTGCAAACCTGTGGACACTCCTATTGTTCAGAATCATCATCTTGGAGAATATCCGGATCAAGTTCCAACTAACAAAGAAAGATACCAAAGGTTAGTGGGAAGATTGATCTATTTGTCACATACTCGACCAGACATTGCTTATGCGGTGAGCGTTGTCAGTCAATTTATGCACTCTCCAAGTGAAGACCACATGAATGCAGTTCTTCGGATTCTTAGATATTTGAAGTCTGCACCTAGAAAAGGACTTATGTTCTCAAAGCATGGTCATCTAAATATTGATGGTTATTCATATGCAGATTGGGCATGTAATGTAACAGATAGAAAATCCACATCGGGTTACTTCACATTCGTGGGAGGTAATTTGGTGACATGAAGGAGTAAGAAACAAAATGTAGTAGCTTTATCCAATGCAGAAGCCGAGTTCAGAGGCATGACTAAAGGGATTTGTGAACTTCTTTGGTTAAGAAAGTTGCTTACTGAACTTGGGTATAAACCTACATCCACAATGAATCTCTTTTGTGACAACAAGGCTGCTATAGCCATTGCACAAAATCCGGTTCAGCATGATCGTACTAAACATGTTGAGGTGGATCAACATCAAACAGAAGCTTGAGAGTGTTTCAGTTTCCTTTTGTGAAATCCAAGGATCAATTGGCGGATATTTTGACAAAGGCGATTTCCAGTAAAGCATTCCACAATTCACTAGATCAGTTTGGCATTAGCGACATCTATGCACCAACATGAGGGGGAGTGTTGGCATGACTTGTGGATGTTGACTTACTTTCCTTACACACCAAGAATTCCTATTATAATTGTAATTGATTTACTTTAATTCATGATTTCCTACTGTAAATAGATTTAGGAATTTGTTATTTACTTGCCCATTCAGGTTTCATTATATTATAAATATGACCTCTTACAAAGAGAAGAATACACAGAAAATTCCCACAAACAAATATTCTCTCATAGTTTTCATATTTTAGTAGAAACTTCTCCAAGCTTGAGGTGCATAAGGGGTCCATATTTCTTGGCCAAGTCTCTTAGTCCATGATGTGGCAGAGAGCTGATGAGCTGGTGTAGGTTTCCGATAAAGAGTAGCTTCCATGGCCCTGGGGGTAGATTTCAAGAAGATAATTGGTTTTGCCTCTGCTCTTCCCTATTTTCAGTACCATGATCACAAAGAAAGTGAAGGCAAACAGGCCTTGGAAGGAACGGCATTGAATCTCCATCAGCAAAATGAAGGTTACTTTGGATTATAGTGGCTTTTGGTGAAACTGCATGCGTTTTACATCTATGTATAAGAAATGATGTAGCAATCTTCGTTCTTTTTCTTTCTCTGATGCAAAGATTTTTCCGACTGGTTGATGTCTCTTTTCTGTAATTAAGAATGTTTAAGAGCTTATCTGAAAGGGGCGGCACTGAGGGTGTGCAAGTGGTGCCACCGCACAGAGCCTCCAATTTTTCGAGGCCCCAATTTTTTTTAACGTATATGTTAGGGTTATTAATATGTCAAATAATGTATATATAAAACCCGCATAGGACATTTACACAGGGACGGGTTTTTGGCAGCCTTGTTATACAGCACTATAACTTCTACTTATGGCTCCTCCTTCTTACACTCTTATTTTCTACTAAGCAATAATCATTATCAATCTATCGTTTTGGCTCTTTTTTTTCAATCTTTTTATTTTATTTTTTCCAATATCAATGATTTCAATATCAAAAATCGAAAACACTAATTCTTAAATTCATAAAGGGCTAAGGGAAAAAAAAATTCATAAAGGGCACTCAAAATCAAATAGTCAAATTGAAATCTCAATTTAAATTCTGGTATATATCTAAATTTCAATCTACATGACTTGTCTCATCATGTTGATTGTTTACAAGTCTTTATATATCTAAATTATACTATATATAAGTCTTTATATAGTTAACGAGCACTAAAAGGAAAACCTAGTCTTTATACTGAACATATTGGTATTTAAGTTTCTCAAATTGAAATGTCAAAAATTTTATAAATTTGATTTGTGATTTGCATTCTAATTGGTGATGATTTTTTACTTAAAAAATAAAATTATTGTATGCCTCGGTATAAGTTTGTGTTAGATTATGTGAGAGTCTTGGTTTAAGTTTCACACAGGGCCCCGAAAATCTCAAGCCCAACCCTTTGATTTTGTTGGATAGGGCCCACTTCATGCATGTTAAATCGCTAAGTTCAAAAGTGACATAAATTGTCATCTAATCCTATTGCATTTGCAATACCTGCGGCTCTTAGATTTTCTACCTGGCAGCCCTACATTCATTGCATGCATTATCACCTTGAGTTGTCATGTATTTATCACGCATTTGCATAGCATGAGACACCTCATGCTATAATTTAATTGCTGGCAGCGTTACCATGTTAATGACATGCCAAATTGACAACACATGCATATCTTCTACGCCACCAAACAATTCTCCAATGGGAGCTTTGCTTGTTGCCGACTTACCTTAGTTTTCTATCGTTTCTTTTGAAACACAAATATTAGAAGAGTCTTGTGTAATACTAAAGATTGCATGCAGCGCATGCAAAGCGACACTTCTTGGAGAGAGAGTGGTGATGAAATTCTTGGAGGAGATAAATAGTGTGGTTTGCGTGTTTTCTTAACTTGGAGTTAGCTTTGGAATCAAGGTAGAAGGTTCATGGGGAACCTTTACTGAGATTAATTAAATTAAATTTTGTGAGCGCTATATTATGCTTAATTTGATTAATGTTCTTGATATTCGCCATTGGCCAGGCGATCGGTTGTTTTTTGCCGAAAGAAGTGAAGTCGCGACTTCTTCAAGCCACAGGTCGCTTGGCAAAATGACTAGTCGTTGTGTCAATTAGTCCGGCACTGTTTCGACGTTTTTTGGCGTGTTTGACTTGGTTTTCCTAACCTTTTGGGGTTTTCTAGCCTATTTTAATAAGGTTTTAGTTTCTTATTCCTAGTTAACTTATAGCAAAAGTTCTATACATTATAAATATAGGACTTTTAGGGCTAGGTTAATTGAGAAGAAATGAGAATTCAAAATTGAATTTTCAAGGGAGAGACACAAGACATAATTCAAGAGTGAATTCTTGAGTGTTTATAAGAGCATCAAAAGGTTTGAGCAAGGGTGAGAAAAAAGAGGGCTAGAGTTCTTATGAGAACTAAGGGGGTATAAGTTGTAACGAAAGTTGTTCTTACATACTAGTGAATTTCTCGGGTGAATCACCAGGAGGACGTAGGCATGAGGCCGAACCTCTGTAAATCTTTGTGTTCTTGTGTGTTTGTTTACTCTTTGCGGTGTGTGCGTGTCTATTCTCTTAGGGGTTTGTGTATGTGCCGTCGTATGGTCCAAATGACAAGGTCTTAAAGTGTTTCGGCACAACAATAACCTTGCTTGACCAATTCCTTTTAGAAGTGGTGGTCTTGTCCCCATGGAAGCCACAATATTGTTCGGATGTCTTCTTCGATGGGTTTGCTTAAGAGGAGGCAGCCTCTGAATTTGAACAATAAAATGAGATGGAAAATAATTCAAAATAAATAGTAGCATCAAAGTTTAAATAGTAATTGATAGTATTGACAAATAAACCTTAGAGAGGTGAACCAACTTCGTGTTATCTTAACTATTATCCTTAATCATCTTAATGATAACATTTAAAAAATCCAAACCTTTTCCAGTACCATTAGGGAGAAAGTCATTTTGGGCCCCCGCTTGCTCACTGGCATTTGACTAAATTGAGGGGTGTTTGGTACCACTGTCCTCCAGGATCCCCATGTGGTTAGAGTGAAGCTGCAGAGTGATTTTTCTGGTTCAGAAGTCCTATACCGCGTGCCCTCTGTTCTGGTAATTGACTATAATATTGTTCTTTGTGTTTTTTTTTTCTGGTTAAGATCAGGACAACAAAAAAAAAAAAAAAAAAAAAAAAAAAAAAAAAAAAAAAAGAAAAAAAAAGAAGAAAGGAAGAACAAAACGAACCCTAAATTATCCAAACCCAGCACTGATTAGGCATGCAAAACGAAATGGAGATTTGGGAAACCTCTCAGCTCATTATGCAGTTTTGGTATTTGTGTTTCTGCTAATTTGCTCATGATGATAGAAAATGCATTAATATGCATGGTTCTTAATTAAATACTGACACTAGGCCTTGTAGTTCTTACAACATGGGATAACATAAACAAACAACGATTACTCTCAGATAAATAAAACAGTTAAGCATCTTATATTTGGGAATTTTCAGTAGGCGGAGGATGACAAGGAATGGGAATCAAGTGCAGATCGTCTTTTCTTCGGACAGCAAGGCCAAAGGCCTCAGTCATGTCCAGGTCCTCATGCTTCATCCAATTGGGGAGTTTCCAATCAAAATGGTATAACAACAATGCAAGCGGGAGCTCAACGTTGGCCAGACCGAATGACACGCCAGGGCACATTCTCCTTCCAGCACCAAATGGGATATAATCAAAGTTTGTTCCCTTGTAGTCAATCGAGCTATCGAGGAACCTATTGGGATTAAAGCTCTCAGGCTCATTCCAGTAATTGGGATCTCTACCAATTGCCCATGCATTCACAATTACCTTGGATTTCACAGGAATTTCATATCCATCAATCTCACATTTTTCTCTGCATTCTCTTGGAAGTAACAGGGGACCCGGAGGGTGTAACCTCAGTGTCTCCTTGATAACTAAGTTTAAATATTTCATCTCTCTAATGCATGTTTCATCTACCTGTCCTTTTCTATTAAACACTTCCCTCACCTCATTCTGTGCCATGTTCATTACTCTTGGATTTTTTATCATTTCTGCTATTGCCCAATCTACAGCTGTAGATGATGTCTCACTCCCAGCAGCAAAAATATCCTGAAAGTAATTAATTTATTAAATGATCAAAAACTAGTTTCCTCTATGAATTGCAAACAATTCTAAGTAAATAGAAAAATATTATAAATAATCTTAAAAGAAGAAACCATTATTCATGTACCCAAGTAAGCTCATTCACAAGTTATAAATGTTGACTTGTAAGAGTGTCTTAAATATTAGGTAATGATTATGGAGAACAATAGACACATGTGAAACACTGTCATCAGTAAATCACTCATCATGAAAATGCTGCACATTGGAGTTTCAATCAACAGTTTAAGATAATGTATGATTAGAATGCAGGAAGAATTTTAACCAGCTTTTCCAAGTAGATAAGTTGTTATATGGTTTCGAATAAAAAAGCACAATGTTGTCCCTTGTACTTGAAGAACTAGTTGTAGAAGCTTTGGACGGCTGCGGGGAATGATATAAGGGATTAGCTGAATTTGCTTAACTAGATTATAGCTCAATTTTTTGGTGTCTGTAGAGGTAAGTAGATGAGAAAGACCAGCCATATTTTTTCTGGCCTCCTTGCCAACATTGTTTGAATCTTTGGTGACTACACTACTTGTAGTGTGTCTACAACGCGGTTTGTGCTATGGTTACTCTTCTAAGGATGAATGTTGAATGAAATAAATGGTACTTTTGTGGTCATCAAGAACCAGAAAATATTACCAGTATGCTGAGACTGATGGAGGGCCATGTGTGGAGACAGCTTGCGTAACTACTTCCAATGCCCAATCACTTAATGATTCTAGCATAGCAAGGAATAAGCCCAGGACAGACGTTAGGAAACCTATCAGGTTTCAAGATGAGTATATTCAATAACTCTACGTTTGTTGGGCTGGGACCTAGGACTTGCTGTCAGTCATTAAATATGGTTTTAATCTTCTGTTGGAGATTATCTCCTATAAGTCTGTTGTATGAACAACTCTTGTTAAAGCATGAGTAAAAAAATTGAAATTTGAAAAAGTGATTTGACTTATTAAAGCATGATATCAAGGGAAAGTGTGTGTGCTTACAAAGATAACTGCTTTGTAAAGACAATGTCTGTAAAATTGTCTCCAGTATTCACCATACGGTGCAAAGACAATGTCTGTAAAATTGTAAAACAAGATCCTTGGGGCAAGGGCTTGGGGCCTGGATGCAAAGATAAGATCATGGGTTTTCATCACCTCTTTGGCAAACTCTGCTGATGAAACTACTACGGTGGAAACTTCTCCAAGCTTTAGGTGCATAAGCGGTCCGTATTTCTTGGCCAAGTCTCTTAGTCTTTGATGTGGTAGAGAGCCAGCGAGCTGGTGCAGGTTTCCTATAACGGGTAGCATCCATGGCCCTGGCGGTAGATTTGAGGCTGAGTACTTGGTTTTGCCTCTGATCTTCAATATTTTCAGTGCCATGATCATAAAGAGCAAGAAGGCTAACAGGACTTGAAAGGAAGGGCACTGAATCTCCATGTGGAAAACAAAGGTTACTTTGGATTATAGTGGCTTTTGGTGAACCTTCATACATTTGACTGAATATGTATTTAAGAGCTGTTTGTCTGAATATGGTTGTTGTTTGATAGTTATCTTAAGGTCTAGTATTATTGCTTGAAATAAATATTTTATCAGAGGTAGCTTTGAAGCAATCAATTTACGTGAAATAAATAGTATACAAAACAAAATGTCAATGCTTTGGTCAGATTGCACGCGTTCTAAATCCGATTGGTTTTGAAAAAAAAAACAAAAACAAAAACAAAACTGATTGGTATCCCATCCAGTCCAGCCCACCAAATAGGACCTAAGGATTTTATGTTACACTTCGAAACCACCTTCAAAGCATAAAATAAAAAACATTAAGCATCCGCTAAATAAACATTATCATGATACAACAACTATTATAGGAAATTATAACAAATTGTTGTAAGGACAGTGAGGTGCAAGTTACAAGTAAAATTAAGCAGTAACCTATTTCTTGGAGATGCTTTCCAAATCCTTGAAAAGAAAACAAAAAAGATAGAGGAGGTACTAAAGTCAATGCATGGGCAATTGGTAGAGAAGAGAACCAAAGTATGATAGACTACAACAACAAGAGCACCCAATAAACATTGAGTTCACATACAGCCTAACAAAACCACACAGGAGTTTGTTTGACAGTGATCTCGCCACAACATCTGTTCGAACTTCTTCTATGTATGCTTTGTGGTGTCTTCAACCGCATTACTCTACACTTCATCTGTGAGGTAATTCTTGATGGAACGCTTAGCAACTCGTCGAGCACGTCCTACTCCTCCGTTGTCATGGTTGTTGACCTGTTCTCTTTGCCTACCAAGATGACGGTTAGACCTGCTCGTCTAGCGTATGTTTCATTATTCTTTGCCATAGGGTGAAGTTCTCCTTGTTGGTGAATGACTTCAACTCGATCTTCATACTAGCCAGTTGTGGTAGCCTTCTTGTCGCCTACCATTTCCAACATGCAAACACTCTTAAAAATATAAGAGTCTGGTGCTCACCTGCAACTCTGATACCACTTGTTGTATGAAAACACTTCAATTCCTTGTTTTTCAATGGATATACGACATGCGCACACAAAACCCCAAGAAGAATAAACACACAAACCGCGAAGAGAGATAGAGGAAAAACATAAGAGTTATGAAAAATTATGTAGATATTGTTGTGATTTGGCTCACCCTAATACGAGAGGAAGAAGAGGAAACAAGCAGCGGCTGCAGCAAGAGGAGCAATAGAGGAAAAAAAGTCACACAACAATAGGCGACTGGTCGACTTGAGCAATTGATCAGTCAAAATTTTCCAGGGAGCACCTAGTTTTGGACGAAGTGTGTTTTGGCTTGGGCGACTAGTTAGCTTTTGCAAGGTACTAGTCTTTTCGGGACAGAAGCTCCAAGTTTTAAAGTGTGCAAGGTGTTTTTGACATGTAAGCTAGTTTTTTTGGGTTTCTTAGTAATTTAATTGGGTTTAAATTTCCTATTTCTAGTAAACTTGTAACTCAAGTCCTATACATTATAAATAGGACTTTTGTGTATAGGACTTTTGGGGCTAGGTTAATTCTTAAGAGGGAGAGCTCTAGTTAGAGAACTCATGATAGAGAGATCTTAGGAGAGAACTTGAGAAGTTTACAAGGTATAAGTTTTTCTGTTTTTGGTATCTAGTCTCTGCATGAAGAAGAGCTTTTGAGACGAAGAATACCAGCTTCTGGGCACCTAGCCGGATAACAACTGTATGGGAGATAAGGTTTTTTGTTGAATATGTTGGATAAAAGAGAAATACAATTGAATCGCGATACACTAGGTTCTTGTTTGGGGCTCACCGTTGTTGCATCCCTTTCTTCTACTTTATGTGTAGTCATATAGACTATGTACTCCAAGCAATAACCTTGCTTGACCAATTCCTGGGAGATCCACGGAAGGCACAATAATGTTTGGATGTCTTCTTCGTTGGGTTTTGCTTACAAGGAGGCAGCCTCTGAATTTGAACAAGAAAATGAGATGGAAAATAATTCAAAATAAATAGTAGCATCAAAGTTTAAATAGTAATTGATATTATTGACAAATGAACCTTAGAGAGGTGAACCAACTTCGTGTTATCTTAACTATTATCCTTAATCATCTGAATGATAAAATTAAATGACAGGACCCGCCCCGGAATTTCCCCCGAAACCGGGGCGGACCCCGTATTGTTGCCGACATCATACCGATGCCGGGCCCACTTACTAACAACCCAAGACATCCTACCAAAATTTTGGCAGAGTCTCCCCTGTAAGATGCTCAAACCCAACAACATTCAACCTGCATAATTTACATAATATAAATCCCAACTGCCAGCATACTTTCAACATACAACAATTCGAAGTAAAGTGGCCTCCGGCCTCAAGTAACAGCCTAACATGGGCGATAACAGAGCATCTAACAGAATTTGATTACAACAACAACAGAGTAGAAGGAATTTACACGAGTCCTATCTACATATGAAATGTTTGGAGCTCGCAACTGCTCGAACGCTTCCAAAAGCCACTACTGCCTGGGGGGCGCAAAACGGAAATATGTGAGTGGACAAAAATAAAGTTTGCATTTAAAACAACATAGTAACCCCACCATGTAAAAATAATGCTCAAGCATGCAATTTCCACATCCATAAATCAAATACTCAAACTTAAAATCTCAAAGTCCAATAACTCTCAAAAATCTCAAACCACAACTCCATTCCCAAAAGTATGCAACTCTCACCAACCCATACATATGTATACCTATATAAGTATATATTTATATATATATCTATAATATAACGTATACTTCTCTCCATACTAATGTACCGGGGAAGACAATCCAACCGGGGGATTGTTGGCTGGTACGCAGGATTTTCGAACCAGAACCCGCGTCCAGGGATGAGTAGTCCAACCGGGGGACAGAACTCCATAGCTCACACGCCGGCACTGCCAACGACACGTGTAGCTCACAAATCTCATATCAAGTCCTACGCGCGCAGACAGTATCATCACCCCACCGGCACTGCCAACGACGTGTGATGATACTCAAGCAATATACATACTCTTCCCATACGCCGGCACTGCCAACGACACGTATAGAAAGTGTCTCACACACCGGCACTGCCAACGACATGTGTGAGACCCGCAATCTCATGGCCTTCCCACCCCACCGGCACTGCCAACGACGTGTGTGGGAAGCCTAGTAACTAGGGAATGGTACTCACCTACCATACTCATACATCTCACAACCATCCCTCAAATTCACATCTTTCCACAATCTCACCACAACAACCTCTCATACTCTATACATAGACAATATAGATAGCCATCCCAAAATCCATATCAACATATTCATCATACTCAAATATATATGTCTATACTCAAAAATATATATAGCCAAGATGTATAAGCATATTCAAATCCATCAACCAAATGCTTATTAAATCAAAATCACCATTTAAAATATATGCACAAAACTTTCATCAATAAAAACCATGCATATGCTTAAAACAAAGTCCACTCACAGGTAATCCCACGCTGCCCGGCCCCGAGAGGGTCCTGCCTGCTGCGAACGATCGACCGGAGTACCTATTTCGAGATACGAACTCTTGATTAATATAATACACTTCGAAACGGGAATTCACAAAAGAGAATACTTAAATCCCCAAGATCCCGGTGCGTGTACGTCCAATAGGATATCCTTACAGGTTTGGGAATCGCTTCCCATCCTACGGTTATCGTTACTCCCACAAACTTCGAATTATTGAATCGGAACATCCGGGGCTCCGATTCACGATCCACGAATTCCTATAGGATTCTAAGAGTACCTAGATCAACATACTTCAGTTTGGAAACGATCCAACGGTTAGAACTTATCGAACCCGAATAACGCACAATATGCGAAATCCGTTCGATAGTCAAACGACATCCAAATTGAGATCCGTAAAATCCTATGCACTCGTGACAACCTACTGATCTCATCAGGATGAAAAGCAACTTCACCAGCCTTGCCCACGCGCCGGCAGCGCGTGGGTGTGTAGAGAAATTTCCGGCGACGGAAAATCTCCACACCAACACTCACCCTTCCTACCCTAGCTTCTTCTCAAGGTCAGGATCACTTTATTCAACTACCCCGAGGTCCAATTTGCACGGGAACTGGCCGGAATTTCAAATTGAAAACCGGCCAAAACCTAGCTTTCCAATTCGGTTCCAAACCTCAAAATCGATCCAAACCTAAACAACAGTCAGCTAGAATACGTAAAAAGAAGAAGAAAACTCACCAACTTTACTTGAAACATACGGCGGAGACGGCGGCGCAACGATCGGAAACTTCCGGTTTGAACCAGTCGATACCGTCGACGATTCTCCGGCTTCCCGGCAAGGAAATTGGGTGGGTCTTAATCGGGATTTCACGACGAGTCGAACGGGACTGGTCTCGAGGGCTGAGGTGACCGGAAGTGGTGGCGGTGAGAGTTTTCTCGATTCGGTGAACAGTGAAACACGGGGAAGGGGGAAATCGCAGAGGGAGGAGACGCGGGAGAGAGAGAGAGAAAGTGAGGGGTAAATGTGAAAAATCTAATTTTACCCCAAACTTACTTTGAAATAATTATGGTTCCGCCACCGAACTTAATTTGCTCGCCAAAACTTCATTACAACTCCGATTCAAGTCTACCGCCTGTCTACGGTTTCGTCTCAGTACTACCTACGCAACCAAACCACTCGTGGTCCCGAAATCCTTCTGGATAAGAAAATGACCAAAATTACCCTTAACCCAAGAGTAAATTGATAATTCTCTTAATTTAATTAAAATAGGAATAAATTTGGAGTCGGGGTGTTACAATCTACCCCCCTTATAAAAATTTCGTCCCCGAAATTCACGTACCTTTCAATGGAAGAGATAAGGGTACTTGGCCCGCATTTGCTCCTCGGGTTCCCAAGTAGCTTCTTCAACAGTTTGGCTTCTCCACAGAACTTTCACTACCGGGATGGATCTAGAACGCAACCTTTGTTCTTTCCTATCCAAGATCTGTACTGGTTGCTCTTCATACGATAAATCTTCTTCTAACTCCACAGGTTGATATTCTAATACATGAGAAGGGTCTGGCATGTATTTCCGGAGCATGGATACATGAAACACATCATGTACTCGAGATAGTTCTGGGGGTAATGCAAGTCTATATGCAACAGGTCCAATTCGCTCCGTAATCTCATAAGGTCCAATGTAACGAGGGCTTAACTTCCCACGTTTCCCAAATCTCATCACACCCTTCCAAGGAGATAATTTCAAGAACACCCAATCCCCAACTGCAAACTCAAGATCCTTAGACCTGTTATCTGCATAACTCTTCTGTCGGTCTTGTGCAGTTTTCAACTTCTCCTTTATCATCTTCACCTTCTCATTTGTTGCTCGGATACTATCCACTTTTTCCAGTTTCTTGTCACCCACTTCATTCCAACAAATGGGAGTCCTGCATTGCCTCCCATACAACGCCTCATAAGGAGCCATCCCAATACTTGAATGATAACTGTTATTATAAGCAAACTCCACCAAGGCAAGGTGAACATCCCATGCATCTTTAAACTGTAACACACAGGACCTCAACATGTCCTCCAGAGTCTGGATAGTCCTTTCCGATTGCCCATCGGTTTGTGGGTGAAAAGCGGTACTGAACTGCAATCTAGTACCCATAGCTTCTTGTAAACACCTCCAAAATCGAGAAGTGAACCTAGGATCCCTGTCCGATACAATGGACACAGGTGCTCCATGCAATCTCACAATCTCATCCACAAAAAGTTTTGCCAACCTTGTCAAAGGATAGGTCTCCTTAATGGGTAGAAAATGGGCAGACTTGGTGAGTCTATCCACTATCACCCAAATTCCATCATGACCCTTTGAAGTACGTGGAAGCTTGAAAACAAAATCCATGGCAATACGCTCCCACTTCCATTCAGGAATCGGAAGTGGTTGCATGAGTCCCGATGGCTTCTGTCGCTCCGCCTTCACTTGTTGACAAATCAAACATCTACTCACATATTTGGCAATGTCTCCCTTCATATGCGGCCATGAGTAATATGCCCGTAGCGTCCGATACATCTTCGTACTACCCGGATGCATAGTGTAAGTGGAACAGTGAGCTTCCTCCATGATTTCTCTTTTCAATTCAGCATTCTTACTAGGTACACATAGACGAGCTCCTTTTACCAAGGCTCCGTCTCCCCTTATAGCATAATCCTTCCGTGTTCCATTTTCTACTTCTCCCCTTATCCTACAGAGTGTAGGATCTTCCAACTGGCTTGCAATTACCCGCTCCACCATAATGGGTCTCACATGCAAGCTAGCAAGGATTCCACCTTGTTGAGTCATCTCCATTTCTACTCCATCCTTCCGTAGTTCCACTAACAACGGAAGATAGGCCGTCCTGATGTGAGCTAAGTTCGCAGTGGTCTTTCTACTCAATGCATCTGCAACCACATTAGCTCGGCCTGGGTGATACTCAATCGTGCAATCATAGTCTTTGATCAATTCCAGCCAACGCCGTTTTCTCATATTCAGCTCCTTCTGGGTAAAGAAATACTTGAGGCTTTTGTGATCAGTGAAAATCTGACACGTCTCACCATACAAGTAGTGCCGCCAAATCTTCAAAGCAAACACCACTGCAGCAAGTTCCAAATCATGAACTGGATAATTCCGCTCATGCTTCTTGAGTTGCCTCGAGGCATAAGCAATCACCCGATCATGTTGCATCAGAACACATCCCAATCCTTGCAAAGATGCATCACTGTAGATCACAAAGCCCCCTGAGTTATCAGGAAGAGCCAAAACAGGTGCGGTGGTCAACCGCTTCTTCAACTCCTGAAAACTCTGTTCGCATTCCTCCGTCCACTCATATGCAACATCTTTCCTTGTCAACCTCGTGAGAGGTGTTGCTATCGAAGAGAACCCTTCCACAAATCGACGATAGTAACCTGCTAACCCCAGAAAACTCCGTACTTCCGTCACACTTGTGGGTTGCACCCAATTCACAATAGCCTCAACTTTCTGCGGATCCACATAAATCCCTTCCGTTGAGATTACATGTCCAAGGAATACCACTCTATCAAGCCAAAACTGACACTTGCTAAATTTGGCATAAAGCTGCTTCCTCCTTAAAGTCCTTAATACCAATCTTAGATGCTTCTTATGCCCTTCCAAAGTCTTGGAGTAAACCAAGATATCATCTATGAACACAATCACAAAGTGATCCAAGTATGGTCGGAACACTCTGTTCATGAGATCCATAAACGCTGCTGGAGCATTCGTCAGTCCAAACGGCATCACCAGAAATTCATAATGACCATACCGCGTTCTGAATGCGGTCTTAGGAACATCCTCTTCTCTAATCCTCAATTGATGGTACCCTGATCTCAGATCAATCTTAGAGAAATACTTGGCATCTTTCAACTGATCGAACAAATCATCAATCCGAGGCAAAGGATACCGGTTACGTACTGTCACCTTATTCAACTGCCGGTAATCAATACATAACCTCATGGTCCCATCCTTCTTCCTCACAAACAACACCGGTGCACCCCATGGGGAAACACTAGGTCGGATGAAACCCATATCCACTAATTCCTGCAACTGAGTCTTCAACTCCCGAAGTTCGGCTGGTGCCATCCTATAAGGAGTTAGATAGATAGGATTGGTGCCTGGAAGGAGTTCAATAGTAAACTCGATTTCCCTTTCAGGAGGTAACCCAGGAAGATCATCTGGAAAGACATCGGGAAACTCACTAACAACGGGAATATCTTCCAGATTCAAGGTGATCTCTCGAGTGTCGATGATATGAGCTAAGAATCCTTCACACCCTTTCTGGAGTAACCTTTTAGCTGTAATAGCAGAGATAAGGCAAGTAGGGAGGATTCTACGTTCTCCCCGGAATATCACTTTGGGTTGTCCTGGACTCCGGAGTGTCACTTCCTTCCGGAAACAATCCACGGACGCATGATGCTTCTCTAGCCAATCCATCCCTAAAATAATATCCAAATCCACCAAATCTAAGGGAATCAAATCGGCTTCCAACCATGCATCATCTACTTGAACATAACATTCTCTGAATACTCGGTCCGCATACAAGACTTCCCCCGTGGGTAGAGAAATACTAAAGCTTCCTGTCATGGGTGTCGGTCTCACACTGACATAAGGTACGAAGTTGTGTGCTACGAAAGAATGTGTGGCCCCCATCTCTGACCACGACCTCGCGTTCTTGGTCGACGAGTCGACATGGTTCCACACAAAGAAACCATAAAATCATTAGATCAACAATGCAGCAAAAGCGCAAAAGTCGAAGGAAAATGAACCTAATGCTCTGATACCAAGCTGACAGGACCCGCCCCGGAATTTCCCCCGAAACCGGGGCGGACCCCGTATTGTTGCCGACATCATACCGATGCCGGGCCCACTTACTAAAAACCCAAGACATCCTACCAAAATTTTGGCAGAGTCTCCCCTGTAAGATGCTCAAACCCAACAACATTCAACCTGCATAATTTACATAATATAAATCCCAACTGCCAGCATACTTTCAACATACAACAATTCGAAGTAAAGTGGCCTCCGGCCTCAAGTAACAGCCTAACATGGGCGATAACAGAGCATCTAACAGAATTTGATTACAACAACAACAGAGTAGAAGGAATTTACACGAGTCCTATCTACATATGAAATGTTTGGAGCTCGCAACTGCTCGAACGCTTCCAAAAGCCACTACTGCCTGGGGGGCGCAAAACGGAAATATGTGAGTGGACAAAAATAAAGTTTGCATTTAAAACAACATAGTAACCCCACCATGTAAAAATAATGCTCAAGCATGCAATTTCCACATCCATAAATCAAATACTCAAACTTAAAATCTCAAAGTCCAATAACTCTCAAAAATCTCAAACCACAACTCCATTCCCAAAAGTATGCAACTCTCACCAACCCATACATATGTATACCTATATAAGTATATATTTATATATATATCTATGATATAACGTATACTTCTCTCCATACTAATGTACCGGGGAAGACAATCCAACCGGGGGATTGTTGGCTGGTACGCAGGATTTTCGAACCAGAACCCGCGTCCAGGGATGAGTAGTCCAACCGGGGGACAGAACTCCATAGCTCACACGCCGGCACTGCCAACGACACGTGTAGCTCACAAATCTCATATCAAGTCCTACGCGCGCAGACAGTATCATCACCCCCACCGGCACTGCCAACGACGTGTGTGATGATACTCAAGCAATATACATACTCTTCCCATACGCCGGCACTGCCAACGACACGTATAGAAAGTGTCTCACACACCGGCACTGCCAACGACATGTGTGAGACCCGCAATCTCATGGCCTTCCCACCCCACCGGCACTGCCAACGACGTGTGTGGGAAGCCTAGTAACTAGGGAATGGTACTCACCTACCATACTCATACATCTCACAACCATCCCTCAAATTCACATCTTTCCACAATCTCACCACAACAACCTCTCATACTCTATACATAGACAATATAGATAGCCATCCCAAAATCCATATCAACATATTCATCATACTCAAATATATATGTCTATACTCAAAAAATATATATAGCCAAGATGTATAAGCATATTCAAATCCATCAACCAAATGCTTATTAAATCAAAATCACCATTTAAAATATATGCACAAAACTTTCATCAATAAAAACCATGCATATGCTTAAAACAAAGTCCACTCACAGGTAATCCCACGCTGCCCGGCCCCGAGAGGGTCCTGCCTGCTGCGAACGATCGACCGGAGTACCTATTTCGAGATACGAACTCTTGATTAATATAATACACTTCGAAACGGGAATTCACAAAAGAGAATACTTAAATCCCCAAGATCCCGGTGCGTGTACGTCCAATAGGATATCTTTACAGGTTTGGGAATCGCTTCCCATCCTACGGTTATCGTTACTCCCACAAACTTCGAATTATTGAATCGGAACATCCGGGGCTCCGATTCACGATCCACGAATTCCTATAGGATTCTAAGAGTACCTAAATCAACATACTTCAGTTTGGAAACGATCCAACGGTTAGAACTTATCGAACCCGAATAACGCACAATATGCGAAATCCGTTCGATAGTCAAACGACATCCAAATTGAGATCCGTAAAATCCTATGCACTCGTGACAACCTACTGATCTCATCAGGATGAAAAGCAACTTCACCAACCTTGCCCACGCGCCGCCACACGCGCCGGCAGCGCGTGGGTGTGTAGAGAAATTTCCGGCGACGGAAAATCTCCACACCAACACTCACCCTTCCTACCCTAGCTTCTTCTCAAGGTCAGGATCACTTTATTCAACTACCCCGAGGTCCAATTCGCACGGGAACTGGCCGGAATTTCAAATTGAAAACCGGCCAAAACCTAGCTTTCCAATTCGGTTCCAAACCTCAAAATCGATCCAAACCTAAACAACAGTCAGCTAGAATACGTAAAAAGAAGAAGAAAACTCACCAACTTTACTTGAAACAGACGGCGGAGACGGCGGCGCAACGATCGGAAACTTCCGGTTTGAACCAGTCGATACCGTCGACGATTCTCCGGCTTCCCGGCAAGGAAATTGGGTGGGTCTTAATCGGGATTTCACGACGAGTCGAACGGGACTGGTCTCGAGGGCTGAGGTGACCGGAAGTGGTGGCGGTGAGAGTTTTCTCGATTCGGTGAACAGTGAAACACGGGGAAGGGGGAAATCGCAGAGGGAGGAGACGCAGGAGAGAGAGAGAGAGAAAGTGAGGGGTAAATGTGAAAAATCTAATTTTACCCCAAACTTACTTTGAAATAATTACGGTTCCGCCACCGAACTTAATTTGCTCGCCAAAACTTCATTACAACTCCGATTCAAGTCTACCGCCTGTCTACGGTTTCGTCTCAGTACTACCTACGCAACCAAACCACTCGTGGTCCCGAAATCCTTCTGGATAAGAAAATGACCAAAATTACCCTTAACCCAAGAGTAAATTGATAATTCTCTTAATTTAATTAAAATAGGAATAAATTTGGGAGTCCGGGGGTTTTAAAAAAAAAAAAAAAAAAAAAAAAAAAAAAAAAAAAAAAAAAAAAAAAAAAAAAAAAAAAAAAAAAAAAAAAAAAAAAAAAAAAAAAAAAAAAAAAAAAAAAAAAAAAAAAAAAAAAAAAAAAAAAAAAAAAAAAAAAAAAAAAAAAAAAAAAAAAAAAAAAAAAAAAAAAAAAAAAAAAAAAAAAAAAAAAAAAAAAAAAAAAAAAAAAAAAAAAAAAAAAAAAAAAAAAAAAAAAAAAAAAAAAAAAAAAAAAAAAAAAAAAAAAAAAAAAAAAAAAAAAAAAAAAAAAAAAAAAAAAAAAAAAAAAAAAAAAAAAAAAAAAAAAAAAAAAAAAAAAAAAAAAAAAAAAAAAAAAAAAAAAAAAAAAAAAAAAAAAAAAAAAAAAATTTCATGGTTAAAAGGCTAAAGCTAATTTACAACCTTACAAAGCTTTTTCACTAGTATCATGGTGTTCATGATCTGGTTACACAAGTTCGGAACCAACACAATTTTCTTGTCACTCAACAAAGACTCCTACATGGATCCAAACCCACAATGGCTCACAAGGCACCTAACTAATGAGTAGCTCAAAATGGCTATTTGCTACACCCAACCCCAAAAAACCACCCCTCTCCCTTTCACCCTCTCTTCAAACCCGTCTGGCAATGCCTCTTCAATTGTTGCATAGGCCCACAGGTCGTTTGAGAACCACAAAAAAAGGCAACCCAGTTAGCTCAAACCCCAACACAAGCTCTTGGCATTGATCCTTCTCAAGGATCAACTGACTCTCAAATGCACAAAACACCACCGACCCTGCTTCCTAAAACCCACCAACCCAGTTAGCCCACATGTCTTCTAAAGGTGGGCTATTCTTGTTCGAGTCTTCCAACCCATACACTAGTCCAATTAAAATCATAGGCTTTTTGTGTTGTGCGGTCAGGTAATCGTATAAATGACCTTCGATATCTCTACATGTTTTTATGCAAAATGCGTCACTTTCTGTGATGGCATTTGTGAACCTCTAGTAAAGTATGAGCCCACCTAATCCAAACGGCTTCCATAACACTAACATGGAGTGAATTTCACAACCAGGAAGCAGCACCACATGTTGTGATTGGTATCCAGAAGGTAGGTCGCGTAGTTGCTCCTTGATGATAGTACCAGTAAGGCTAGGGCTGTAATTTCGTGCCGGCACAATAGAGAATGCATGCACAGCTGCAGCTGTAGTGATGTAGTAAATAGATTTGATCCCAACCCCAAGTTTCCATGTGAATTCTGGTACCCAATGAACAAAGTAGTAGAAAATCATGTCGATCTTATGGTCGAGGACACTGGCTTTTAGGATTTCTTGGATTTGCTTACAGTTTTGATCCACATCAACATAGAACAAATGGATCAAAGTTGTCGGGACCTCAGAGGCAAACTCAATGCCCTCATAGAGGCCTTCAACGTGAGGGACAGTGATGGGACAAAATGTGATTAGGTCTGGGTGAAGATTAAGATGTTGTAGCTGAATTTGAGCTTTTTTGGGCGTTAAGAAAGAGATTCTATGGCCTCTAATAGCCAGCTCATTAGAGAGGTGGAGGAAAGGAATCATGTGTCCTATTAAAAAGAATGGGAACATGGCTATGTGAAAATTATTTGAGCTCTCAACTCCATTACGCTCCATCATGTAGTTAACTTCTATTCTAGCTAGAGGTGTCAAACGGGCCTTGCCGAGCCGGCCCGTCCCATTTAAACTCGTGTTTTTAATGTTTTCATGTCGTGCCGAGCCAGCCCATTTAATTTATTGGGCCATGTCATGCCGCCACATTTAGTAAAATCATTGTTCATAGCCCGGCCCAAAGACCATGACCACAAAGTCCACTTCAACTTTTCATCTTTAAACAACTTATTATTTTATATGTGAAGAAATGTCTTGCTTTGATTATAAAAGAAGCGTATATGTCATATGTAGTGATTAGATATCAAGTCCAATGTTGTTTAATTAATTAAGGATCCAGGTAATTTCCCTAAAATGAAAGACATCAAATATATGTTTATGATTATAAAAAATAATTAAAAAAACCACATAAACAATGATATTAGATGTCAAATTTTTGAATTTTGAGAAAGAAAAAAAATTAAGTGGGTCGGGCTTGGGCTCAGGCCGTGCTTGAAGTGAGCTCGGACCAAGCCATGGGCCGGTCCGGTCCATTGAACCTCATTTTTTATCCCGGCCTGACCCAAGTTTTCTTGTAGTGCCGATCATGGGCAATTAATATTCATGCTCGTGTCGTGCCTTATTTAAACAGGTTGGGCTCATGCCGTGCTGGGTCGGCCCATCCCGTTTGACACCTCTAATTCTAACTCTCTTAGCCTCTTCTCGTAGTCTCTCTTGCTATGATGGGAGGGCAAAGACGCTAGTGATCGCTGGTGGCTGGACAAAACCTTATTGGGACTTCTCAAACGTAATTGTGATGGTGCTTAGAGTGCCAATCGTATGGTTGGAGCAGGGGGTTGGGTGTTGAGGGATGACTCTGGGTGCTTTCGTCTGGCTGGCAGGGTTGGTAGCGGTGTCTAAATGCCCTGGGAGCTGAAGCTGAGGTAGTTAAAGCGAGCTTGGAAGTCGGAATTGATTATAGCGTGCAACAGATAGTGGTTGAATCAGATTCTAAGCTTCTCGTGGATGCATTGCAAAGCCATGCTAGCATTAATGTGATCTTGGATGGCATAGTGCACGATAGAGGTGCCAAACGGGACGAAACTGCCCAACACGATACAAGCTCAGCCTATTTAAATGAGGCATGGCACGACATGAGCACGAATATTAATGAGCCGTGCTCAGCACGGCATGAAAACTTAGGCCAAGCCGAGATTAAAAAATGAGGTCCAATGGACCGAGCCGGCCTATGGCCAGAGCCCGCTTCAAGCATGGCCCACTTAACAAATGTTTTTTTCTTCTCAAGAGTAAAAATGCAATAATTTGACAATGTCGTTGTTTATGTGGGTTTTTTTTATTTTAATCATAAACATATATATGATGCCTTTCCTTTTAGGGAAATTACTTGGGTCCTTAATTAATTAAACATATTAACTACAAATTAATTAAACAACATTGGATTTGATATCTAATCAGTACATATGATTTATACGCTTCTCTTATAATCTCAAAATAAGACATTTCTTCACATATAAAATAATAAGTTGTTTAAAGATGAAAAGTTCAAGTAGACTTTGTGGAGTTTGACACTTTTTGCCGTCCATCCTTTCATATTGTTTGGACGTTTGATTGATTAATGTTTTCAAATAGTTCATCATTTCTTGCCTCTAATTATATATTTAATGTTTATAATTTGAATTATCTACTGGGAAAAAAAAACAAGTGAAAAAAATTCAAATTAAATGGGTTGGTTCTTGAATTATCCCGGCCCGGCCCGTTTCAATGTGGACATGGGCTTTGTGCAGGCATGAATCAATTATTTTACTAAGTGGGCCAGCACGGCACGACCAGATAAATTAAATGGGCCAGCCCGGCCTTGCACAAAATCATTAAAAGCACGAGTTTAAATGGGACAGGTTAGCCCGGCACGACCCTTTAACACCTCTAGTACTAACATCAATATACTAGTAATACATAATTGAAATTCACCCTATTTACTTATATTACAACACACAGCAACAATATGATATTGAAAATACCAAAACCATGAGATTTCTTGGTTAAAAGGCTAAAGCTAATTTACAACCTTACAAAGCTCTTTTAAATTCTGGATAAACCTATCAATATAACCCCTCATAAACCCTGGCTCTGATAGTATCCCTCTCCATTTCGCAAGGTTCTTCTTCAGAGAAACACCCAACTCATTTTCCTTATCCATCACAGTTGTAATGGTTTTGCTCAAGCTATCCTTTGAAAACCATCCATTTTCTTCTCTCTCTACCTCTATAGCTCTTTCACCAGTATCATGGTGTTCATGATTTGGTTACACAAGTTCGAAACCAACACAATCTTCTTGTCACTCAACAAAGACTCCTACATGGATCCAAAGATTTAGAAAATCATTATCTATTATCATTGTAAGAACTACAAAAAAATGAAGTATGGGATAAAATATGATTTTATTAAATGGTGGATGTATAACTATATATTCATATTTATGGAAAGAAAAAAAAAGAACTATGAAGTTATGAACAAATAAAAAAATGGAGACATAAACATATAGACAAATGTATATAGAGAACTACGAAAGAAAGGGAAACATAGAAACACACCTATACATAGAAAAATAAATAAATAATTGACAAAAAAATCCATATAAAAAAAAATATTGTCCCATTTTGACCCGGCCCGACCCGATAGGCTTTTTCAAGCCAACCCATTGACGAGGCCTAGCTAGGAGGTGGTCTCTTCCTTTTGTAGTGAAAGGTGAGGCAAGTTGCCTTGCCTCCACGCTAGGCTTGGGGAACCATTCTGAAGGGGGAGCACATGCAACTAGCTAGGAGAAGGCATGGGCTTGCCCTCTTGGTACTTGTGGCCTATGGGGGATCAACATGAGTGGTCCACTTGTTTGGGCATGTGAGGCCAGCTGGTGCTAACCAGTTATGGTATTAACAAATTTTCTGTACAATTAATAATCGACAAAGTTTTTTGTACATGTGTCTCATAATCTCCTTAAGTTTATGCTTTCTCCATATATTATGTGTAGGGACGTTAAAAGTAAGGGTCATCATTAGGCCTGCGAGCCCATGGGCCGATAAGGGCCCGCCCGGCCCATTGAGAAAAAGCTTGGCCAGGTCCGTTATGGACCACGAGCCAGCTCAACCCATTATTGAGTGAGACAGGCTTGGACTTGAGTGTCTAAAGCTCGGCCCGACTCATTTGAGCCCAAGAAAGCCCGGCCCAGCCCACCCATAAAACCCCGGCTTGCGGGCTCACATACATATAAATAAATATATAAAAAAAACCAAGTTTAATGAAAGATGGAGAAAATCATTATCTATTATCATTGTAAGAACTGGAAAAAAAAAATTTAAGTAAGGGATAAAATATGATTTTATTAATATGGCAGTTGTACAACTATATCTTCATATTTATGAAGAAAAAAAAACTATGAAGTTATGAACAAAGAAAAAAATGGAGACATAAATATATAGACAAATGTAAATATAGAACTACGCAAAAAAGAGAAACATAGAAAACAGCAAAACATAGAAAAATAATAATAAAGAATTGACCCAAAAAAAAAGTAGGCCCATTTCGGCCCGGCCTAGGTCGATGGGCTTTCTCAAGCCTAGAACATGGGCCGGGCTTGAGCTTCAAATTTTCTAAAAAAGTCTGGCCCGATTAGGCCCATTATTTTTTCTCTCCTCTTTAAAGCCCAACCCAGCCCGGCTCATTGACGAGGCCTAGTTAAAAGTAAGCAAAATGTCATAGCAAAATGCTAGATATTAAACTCCCCACTTTCCTCTGTTTTAATTAAAAATTAATTTCAGTATAAGTGCATTTAATTTGGATGAATTAAATTCTAATTTTTCAAACATTTCTCTTCTCAACTGAAGCTCGGCTCATTATTGAGTGGTTTGGCTTGGACTTGAGTGTCTAAAGCTCGGCCCGGCTCGTTTGAGCCCAAGAAAGTCCAGCTTGGCCTATGGCGTCACATACATATATATATATATATAATCAAGTTTAATGAAAGATGGAGAAAATCATTATCTATTATCATTGTAAGAATTAAAAAAAATAAAGTAGGGGATAAAATATGATTTTATTAATATGGCAGTTGTATAACTATATCTTCATATTTATGGGGAAAAAAACTATGAAGTTATGAACAAAGAAAAAAATGGAGACATAAACATATAGACAAATGTAAATATAGGACTACGAAAAAAAAACATAGAAACACAGCAAAACATAGAAAAAAAATATAAAGAGCCCATTATTTTTTCTCCTCTTTAAAACCCAACCCGGCCCGGCCCATTGATGAGGCCAAGTTAAAAGTAAGCAAAATGTCATAGACAAAATGCTAGATATTAAACTCCCCACTTTTCTATGTGTTAATTAAAAATTAATTTCAGTATATATGAATTTAATTTGGATGAATTAAATTCTAATTTTTCTTATTTTTTGAACATTTTTCTTCTCAACTGAAGCTCACACGAGTTGAAATGAGGAGGAGAAGGGCAAGAAACAATGAAGCTCCAGGAGTTGAAATGTCATTGAGTCAGTAGCGAGGACTTCGTACAAATCATGATGGTTGATGCCACCTTCGTGATAGAGATTTTGTTGAAGTTATGTGGTCACCATTTCAACACATTTGAGTGGAAGACCACGATAGCATCTCCAGCAAGTCCTAGATAATAAATTATATTACGTCAAACATGCTCAAGTTGGAAAATTAAGTACCATTTTGCATTCTTGAGGATCTTCTTGAACTACATAGAATTGCAGCCGCTGCCAGCAGTAACAGTACTTATGTCATTCCTTCGATGAAGGAACTCGCCTTTGAGTTCATCAATATGACATGGGTTTGGACGAGCATCGTACAGAATGCGGGGATGCTAGGTTCTTCAAGTTTGAAAGTAGAACACTTTATTGCGTATCTAAGACTATTTTATCTCCCCAAGGACTCACATATTATTAATATTGGAGGTTTTGTTTAGAAATATTGTTGCCTTTGAGCAATG